TCCTTGTTGTGGTACAGTGTTTCAGCACAGATATTGATTGTCTCGGATAATGGTACGTTTGTAAACAGACTGACAACATCAAAGGAACACATGTGCGCAGAAGATGGAACTGGGTTCTCATGTAAGATTTCAACAAACTGGAAGGTGTCTTTGACGTTGTGCTTACAGTAGAAATCCAGCACTGGCTGGATCATCATACACAGCCATTTGGATATTCTGTATTCCGCTGAGCCAGTCATGGAGAGTATCGGACGTAGCGGGCAAGATTGCTTGTGAATTTTTGGCAAGCCATACATCCTAGGTCGCACCGAACCGATTGGCTTTATCCGTGCAAATTCAGATGCGAATATTTCATTTGTGTTTTTCAGTGTCTGCAGGTATTTCACTAGTTGCTTTTCTCGGATTAGAGTTCGATCGTGCGTTGATACAGGGCCAAGCAACTCAAATTTGGTCCTGTCATCCAAAATTTTGGCCATTTTGGACTTATATTCCGCTTATATTCAGTTTTCCGAGACACAAACGGTGTCTCGGAAAAACCAACACAGCACGCAGAAATTGGGAACAAACATTAATGTAAACAAAGACGAACACTGTGTCTTATAATAGCAATGAAAAGTATGAATGCCGCAGACATCACCACGCAACATGACAATTTGTTCAAGGTTTGGTTTTGTGTGTTTCCAAAATCGATTTTCACGTTCCGATCATCAGTGGAAATACGGAACTAAAGAGATCAAGGGAAAAACAAAGGTTAAAAATCCAAAGAAGTGTGACACATGACGGGTAACTTGTGGTAAGTTTTACAAAAAGTGAGAACTAAAATAAAGAGTAAGTGTGACAAACTGTGTCTTATCTTCATTATCAGCGAGTACCGGAACGCCGGACGCAGACAACCGCAACTCACCAAAGCTGAGAAGGAGCAAACGGCTGGCGGCAGCTCGGTTTGCAGAGGTGACTGGAAAGATGCATCGAAACTCTCCGGATATGGATGATGCCAGCGGAAGAGTTGACGACTGTCAGGCGTTTGGCAATGGCAAGGGAAGACCGGTCAGGAAGAGAACGCGACGGCAGCTGGAGGAGGAGTGTGGAAGCGACGTGTGCAGTGACGATGATGAACCCGGTGGTCAGTTGCTGGGAGAGCCGACGACAGGTGAAGGTGGCAGCGATGATGAAGAGGACGATGACGATGATGACGATGATGGTGCAGATGGTGTGAAGGACGGTGGCGGTCAGAAACCAAGTGAAGGCGGAGGCGGTGAGAAGAAGAAGAATACATCGGCAATTAAATTGCATTTGTTGTCTAACCCCGTGTGTCGTGAAAGTTATGATGATTCTTGGTTCAGTGTTGTTCGTTCTGCAAGTAGTTTCAAGCAGTTGAAAGTTCTAGAAGCAGTCTACATTCGCATTCGTGATCCAAATCTTTGTAAACAAAAAGAAAATGTCACCGCACTTACGCTATTCCAGTAAATTCGCACTCACACACACTTACACATGCATGTCCATTGTCACACTGCACTTGCTGAATTTCCTATTATTTCTCACCTCACCTATAGTTTATTACCTGTGCAAATTGTTCCTAGGTTTGTGCTATTTTTCTTACTATGCTTGTATCCTCGCTGTTCCACTGCAAGTGTATAAATCCTATTGTAGTTTCATCATTCTCTTTAGTCACGAATTCCATTGATAATTGTGACAAGAAAACGTTCTGGAATACATGATTCGTCCCCATGGTTGTGATATGAGTGCGCATTTAGTTATATTCATTGCATTATTAAGATTATTGTCTCCACGTCGCCTTTTTACATTATTATTATTATCAAATTTTTGATAGGGCAATCCCCACAGGCCTAAGGCCTTCTTACAGGGTACCCTAGAAATGAAAGTACTGAATTACGGAATAGGTGCAGTGAAGAGCATAAGCGGACTGCAGCGGGGAGTGCATTCCAACGGTCGGAACCGATGAAAGAAACTGAAAAGAGACCGAAACGAGTTTTAGCTTTTGGTAGAGTGACAGACGAAGATACCTGAGAGCGAGTGCAGGAATTGGTACGAGTAGAAATCGAACGAAGGCAAAAGCAATCAGTAAGGAGAGTAGTAGTTAACTGATTCAGGACACGAAACACTAAGATATAGAGTTTGAACTGATAGCGCACAGACAAAGGGAGAATGTGGTGGCGTGCATTAATAAGGGATACGTCAGAAAAACGAGGCATCATGTGACTGAACACAATGCGTAGAGCTCTATTACTAAGACGGACTAGACGGTCATGAAGAGTTACTGACAAGCAATGAGCAAATGAGTTACTCCCATACTCGAGTACTGTCTGAATGGAACAAATGTAAAATGCACGCTTCGCAGTTACCGTCATGTGATCTCGGACCTTTCTGAACATGGCTAACTTACTTCCAACTTTCCGCTCTAGTTGCCTAACGTGCTCTCCGAAGGAGAGATGTTCGTCGAGTACAATGCCAAGGTATCGAATGTGTGCACTAGGGTTGATTGTGACCTCACCCAGCTGTAGAGCGACGCTAGGGTCAAGGGGCTTGCACTTTGACCTGAACACGACAAACTGCGTCTTGGAAGGATTCAGCAGTAAGCCTCTGGCCGCCAAGAACTCTTTCACTTTAGCAATGTCTTCTGTCAGCTCTTTGCACAACTGTTTAACGTTCTTGCCAGCTTTGTAGAGGGAGACATCGTCCGCGTACTGTCGAGCCTTGCAGTGCTGGGGTACAGAGGGGAGCTTTCTGACTGACAGATTGAAGAGAGAGGGCCCCAAGACGGAGCCTTGCGGAACCCCCCTGTTGCTGCTATATGCTAGGCCTTGTTGTGTCTTGGTGACTACACGTTGCTTCCTGTGGGCAAGGTAGCTACAGAACCACTGCAAGGCAGTACCACCGACACCGATCTCCAGAAGTTCACTCAGTAGAACTGCATGACTAACTGTGTCGAATGCCTTAGACATGTCTAGAAAGGCAGCTACGACATAATCACCTTTGTCCAAGGAGAGCATCCAGTCGTTGATCACGGGAGTGAGCAAGTCCTCGCAGGAGTGGCCTCTGCGGTAGGCAAATTGCTCAGCAGGTAGGGGTAACAGTGGTGGTGGTGCATTATAGATATAGTACATTAGTTGGTCGTGTACAATATGTTCCAGTAGCTTAGACATGTGGGACAGGAGTGATATTGGTCTATAGTTGGATGGGACTGACTTATCTCCACGCTTGTAGATAGGCCGCACATTTGCTAGTTTGTAGGTCGATGGAAAATCGCCAGACGTAAGAGACATAGTAAATAGTTTGGCCAAAGATGGGGCGATCTCATCATTGATGAGCTTGTAAGCCTGGGCGGGGATGTTATCAGGTCCTGTGGCTTTACGACTAACCCCTGCAGGCGCGTACGCAGGGGGGGGTTTCCCGTTGCCCGGAAACCCCCCAAATGTTCCAAACGAGCAACGTTTTTGGGCATTTTTTGGTAGGGTGCACGATCGATCTGGCAAGAATGCAAAACTTCAACAGACCGTAACTCAGTCAAATCTCGCTCAAATTCAGCGATCCAAAAATCCAGATCGAATAGAAAATTCTCAGCTGTCGGTTGGAACAATTTTCGACGCGCTGCGAGCTCTCTTGGGATAAATCATTCGTAAGTTGAGCCGCGATCTCGGGAATTTCAAAAGCGCGCAGTGCGATTTGAGCATCGAGAATTTGAGCCTTTCCGTCACGCTGACTTGCTCAAATTTGCAGTGGCTTCACTTCTGATATTAAGAGTACGTAGTCTACACAGCAAAAAAATCGAAACTCTGCTATCAAGAAAAACGAAATCGCGGGAGCAGGACGCGTTTGGGCCTTTGAGGCATTTTTCCCACCGTCGCTGCACTCTACCGCTATAGCATAGCGCTGGATATGTACATGACTGTACTGTGTCCTGGCTATCATGGTCAACCTCATTCTCTCCCGGGTAGTAGTAGTAGTACTAGTAGTAGTACTAGTAGTAGTAGTAGAATTTATTATTTTGATAGGGAAGGCCCTACAGACGTTGCCGTCTTGTTACAGGGAACCCTAAGTGCTCTTTACAGAGCGAAACAAAAACGGATAGATGCTCAACCTGACGACACGAGACAGGCAGAGAATTCCACCTATCAGCGCCAAGGAAAGAAATAGAGAACATGCCATATCTAGTGGTAGCAGCGGGCAAAGAAAGTGAAGAGAATGATTGCCCTCTAGTGCGCCTCTCGGTGCAAGTAGCAGCCGACTGGAGGGTGAACATTGAGGAAAGAAGAGGACTTGTAAGCTGATGAATACAGCGGAAAACAAAAATAAAAAGCCTCAAGTTGAGACGAGATTCGAGGGGTACCTTTCCACTTCCAGAAAGCCCAAGAGAATGAAGATTGAGTGAGTACAGTAGAACTGAAGTTATGATCCAAAGAACACGAAAAAATGCATAATTTTGAAAATTTCCTAGGGCTTTTTTAGAAAGGGTTAAAACTCATGCACGGTTTGGGATTCGGTTGGAAATCCCCCTATTATAGAGGTGACCCTGCGTAGATCTACGCGCCTGCCCTGGGGGGTTATCACTATCAGCAAGAGTACATAGGGGGGTTATGTACTCTTGCTATCAGTGGTTATACTCGCCTGCCCTGGGGGGTTATCACTATCAGTGGATAGTTATACTCTTGACCACGATACCTGAAACAGCGAGAATCTGCGCCTTAATGTGCGTTCCACCTTTGTGCCGCGCCTAAATGTCCCGAACGAGGAAGTCAGGGACCGTCGGTACGCGGTGGTGACAGCCGGGTACCGGGTGCGCTCGGCCGTGCACAAGCGCAGTAGCCAGTTCCTGGTTCAACAACACACACGAAAGGGCCGTGGGCTAGGTTAGCGTGAGCGCAGCGCATCAAGAGTTGTCATGTTTTACACAGTCGCACACATGCACACTGTCTGTGTGTACGAGAACGGCGTGGCACATGGCATATGGCCGTAGATCTACTGCATGCCGTAGCTCTGCCTCTGGGTGCGTTGTCCATCAAAGAAAGACGACACATCGAACACGTCTATTCTTGAATTTTTTTCTTTCAGATCATGTTCGTTGGTGGCTACTCTCGCTGGAAATAATTGTGACTGTGGCGTTACCAGAGTACTAGTTGATAAGCAATGCATAGAGCTTGAACAAAGCGGATTTCTGAAAGATATTCTCCGCTGCGTCCTGACTCCGGAGTCAAGCAGACGTCAACTTGTGTATCGTACTCGTTTCTGAGCAACTAAAAGAAACTGACGGATTTATAATTCACAGAACTAGAAGCAATCAAAAACTGGTAAGAATTTGGTCATCAAGATGTCTAAATAGCAAAGAATGATCCTCTAAACTATTGTTTCGATTATTTCGGAAACAACCCCTCTTTCTCGAGTCCATGGCTCTGGGCTTGTGTTTTCAGTGCAGTGCCAAGCTGAGACGTGTTTTCTTTTGCTATGAAGAAGTTTTTTCTTCATTTTCAACATGTATGTGGGTACCGGGTATATCCGGACACCGGATAATCAGATAATCAGGATGGTCTAAAAATAATAATGAGCAGTGATAAAAATAATACCGTACTGGCAATATATAATTATGGTCGCAGTGAGGCCATAAAGCGTTACATTGGCACATGTTTACCGCACGCAGGGCGTTACATGCAAAGTCGCACAGGAGCCGTTACACAGATTTCTATATTGCCGCAGTCCTTTTTTTGCTATTGCAGGACTTCCTGCTGCGTCCAGTTTTGAACTTTTCACCACGCGGTACACGTGCTTTCACAGTTTTCAGCCTTTTTTGCAATGAAAAGATCGCCGCACCCCGCCGGACGCGCGTTACGAACGCAACGAAAATTTGTCGCCCTAGCCTGGTCGCGCGTTACGCCGCACCCCCCTGCGTTACGCGGCAACATATATTGCCAGTACGGTAGTCATTGGTTTGAGGGAAAGATGTAATACCGATGTCATAATGTATTGGGCATGCAGTCTGCCTATGCTTCAGTCTTACTTTTGCAATGGCCGCCTGTAAACTACCCACAGGCACAAGGCTATTGATCATAAAAGATCACAAGGAAAACAAAGTCAGAAAGGGTACTGTGAAACGGGAAAGTCTAACGAGTCACAAAGTCTAACATTTTAACGACCACTTTTTTTCGTTATTTGAAGAAACGTTATCGCGAACCCGGTTTTAGATGTCTGTGTAAAGATACGCATACAGATGGGTGGCCAGATAGCCATCGTTAAACTGTTGTGCTTGTTATCATGCCAAACTTACAAAAAACGTTTATCTTTTTGGTCGTTAAACTTTCCAGTTTTACAGTACTGCCGAAGTAGCCAAAGTCATACACCTTTGATATGTGGCAATTTAGGTGCTGGATCAAGAGTACAGTGATCATATTCAGGGGTCACCGTCCCCAGTTAGTAAGCATTGTTTGGAGTTGATTGGATGTGGTTCCAAGTTGGAGTGCTGGCTATCGGGCTTTTCAATGGTGTGCGAGTAGACGCACATTTTTGAAATTGCCGGGGTGGCCTTCTAACCCACTAACCTTGTAGTATTGAATGCTGCAAGTAGGACTCGCCCATCCGCCCCTCCCCTCCTGGACATACTAGAAGGGTTGCGGAGCTAGGGGCACTCTGCATCTGGTGGGAGTTTACAGTAACTGTGGATCGCAGCACGGCTGGAAAAAATCCTTCCGCTTCCTGTTTCCCCCTGTTTCTAAATCATGGTCTTAGACCATCCCATTGCATGCCATCCATTGTTGAGCAAAATCAGGAATGTGTGCGAATATTATTTTAACAATTTTTTTACTACATGTGGCACCTGCTGGGTGGATCGCAGTCGTTTGTTACAAAAGTGTGACATTTGTATAATTATGTGTATGTATGCGTGTACGGTTGTGTGAATGTGTGTTTGCGCGTGCTCACACGCATGCGCGTGTGTGTGCGTGTGTGCATTGCTGTATAATGTATTTCTTTTTCCTGGCTCTTTAGGAGAAAATTGAGTGATTTTCAACAGCAAGGCAATTGAGGATGAGTCGCCGCTCAAATGATGCCTCGCCCGAACCTGCGCCCTATCTTGGGATATTCCTGGTGGCAACTGGTAGTGACGCGGATTGTCGTCCAGAACAGATTCGGTGAGTACTCCGATTAGTAGGATTGTTCTCTGCCTACAGGTCGTGAACGGGGAAGGGGTGCGTGAATGGCCTTCACCATGTGCAGAACAGACGTTGACAGTGACTCCTGGCCAAGTCTGCCTCTCAGGGTTTTGTTTCATTGTTTTTGTATTTGCCCCACTCACACGTATTTAATGCTAGTTATTCCCAGATGGGCTTGAACACGGATGAACCGGTTATGCGGACAGTTCGAGTACTCAATTTTTTCTTTCTTTTTAGAGATAACCATACTCTGAGTAAGCAGAGTTCCAAAGTCTAGCATGTGCTTTTGGGTTTGACCAAGAGTACGTTGCTCCCAGGAGTTCTCAGTAGCCCGAATTGGTGAGCAGACTACCCTTCAAGTGTTTTGAGCGGAGTATTCGTATGAGAGGCAGAAAATAAATCTTGACAAGGAAAGCAGTGAAAGTGCACCTTCAGCAAGTGAAAAGAATGCCTCAAATTGAAACGGATGCTTTTGAAGAATTCTTCCTGAGCGAGTGCATGGAAGCGTCCAAATACAGTCGACTCATTTTATAACGAACTTGCATGTAGCAAATGTCGTGGTATAGCGGATCATTGTCCATGTCCTAGTTTGAACCCCTACGGAATTGACCCTTTGTTGCGAACTGGTTTCGTTTGTATCGAACCCTATACTGTAGGGAGCATAGACCAAGTGCACTCATGCAGTCATGGGCCGAACGCCAGCCATCAAGTGTTGCTTTTATGGTTTGAGTGCACGTCTGTTACAGTCAGACCTCGCTTATCCGGTCCTCTTTTATCCGGATCCCTCGCCATCCGGAAGAAAATCGTTGGTTACCGATTTACAGCATATGTTATGCATACAAACAGTATGTGTATTCAATTATCCGGTTCCCTCGCCTATCCGGATGTTTTTGTGGAAAACGGATGTGTGCGGCTATGCGAGGTCTGACTGTATAAAGAGCTTTGACCATCAGGAGCTAATTCTCCTGCACACTCGTGTTCGTTATATCAGGAGGTGACTGTAGAAGGAAAAAACTTCAATGTGCTGGTACACATGATCACACTGCAGTAATAAATTATTGTCGGGCGGTGCCTGCTCACATTTATGGAGCAAGGCAACTCTCATCAGCGAAAGCATGCACTCAAACTTAAAGCGAATTACTCACTGCTGCAGCATAATCAGACTATGATTACACATGTGGGCATACTGGGTACGCGATTCATCAGCACAGTTTCAAGTCCCAGAAAAGCAACCGTATGTATTCCGCTTTTGAGAACAGGCACTTCAGTGCACAAATGATGGCCACCTCCAACTGCTCCGGCCCTTGCGCCATGTAGAACAGCAGGCTTTCGATTGCCTCACAGTGAACATGAAACACCCACGCGAGCACACTTGCACACACACACACATATTTTCTGTGGAAGATCCAGTATCCCGTTCATGCTGCTTATGCAATATGAAGCCTGCTGCCATCGTCTTGGCAAGTTGGTCATGAATAGTATCAAAAGCATGGCAGTTCGCTGAAAAATGTCACAAGTTGCTGTGTAGTGGCTGCCCTTGACGTCACTGATTCACATGGTGGAGGAGATTGGTCCAATTTCGTATGTAGTCATTATGCTACTGAGTCGAATGGTCTTGGTCCTATGATGCTGCGATACACGCTGCCCAGTCGAATTGACTCTGAAAATGGCCATTTTGTATTCAAACAGATGTGTGGATCTCGGGCCTTGTCTTTAATAGTGACTTCATCACTGGAATTCAACGCACTGTACTTGCAAGTTCCATTGGGAATATCTGACAAACAATGTATCACAGCTTCATCGGTCCAAGACCATTTTCGACTCGGTGCCCTAAACACTACAGGCCATTAGGCTTTCACTTTTGGAAGAAGTGCTCCTTTGAGCGGCCTCTGCAGAAAGATGGTGATTCTATGTCGAGCTGCAGCCTAGGCTGGTTGACAGCCTTGTTGACAGGTCGCCTGGTCACCAAACTGAAAACAGACACCTCGAGCCGGAATCCAGTACTCGAGTTTTTGTAACCTGCCTGTAAGGGAAAGGCTGTGAGAGATTCTACTGCTACTACTACTACTGCTGTGTGTGCGTTATTGTAATTGAGCATGACTGCACCTATGTTGCATACTCTGACAGAGAGATAAATGTGCAGTACACTCTTGAACGCAGGTCATGTGTACGGAACGAAACACTAGACCTCTCGCCGCCGCCGTCCCATTAGCCACTGAGCCCGGCTGAAATAGCAGCCCATCTCAATGACGACGATAATAATGATGCTAACACCGAGATCATTCTCTCCGGCTGTATGGATGGTAGTCAATCAACTGAACACCCGTGCCCTGCTGCGAACACAAGCCCGTGTGTCGTAGTGTGCCACGGCTCCACCGTGCTGGAGTAGAAATCTATGTTTGCAACATGTTTTGAGTATATCTCGTAACTCGTAAGTATAAGTGCTGGCTAAGTTTGTAGTGTTTTCTCTCATTGTGTAGGGTCTTGTTTTACAATTGCCTGTCAAACACAGTGCGCTTGTACCTGTTTAGCAAGAAAAGCCCCGATTTGTCTGTTTGGAACAAGTCGCCCAGAAACTTGAAATGTTGGGTCTCTGCATGCTTTAAAAGGGTGGGAGGGGAGGGGGGGTCACAGTAGTGCAACTGGCCTGGGATGCAGGCGCACAGAGGACAGAATGTGTATTGCCTTTCGTGTTCTTATGGGTGAACTCAGAGTAACAACCGGAAACTAAGGGAGAATCACCAATGGCGAAACTGAATGGACTAGAAGACTCACGGGACTCCCGACTATGATGCGTACATGGTCCTTTTCCACATGCATACGGCAAAACAGGGAATGCAAATTGAACATAGTACAAACGAAACTGGGTTCACCACTGGCACGTGGCCGTGGACGCTGTACGCCTGCGGTTCATGTGTGCCAAAAACCCGCGTTCAGGCTTTCACACAAAAAAAAACAGCAAATCGAGTCGTATTTACGGCGTACGACGCCTTCGGGTACTGTACTAATTGTTTGGCCTTGCCAGTCAAAGCACCTGATACGCGCAGAAAAATACGACATGTTGGAATTTCCATTTTGGCGCGTTTCTATGCGCATGCTGCCCCAAAATGCCAGCAAAATACGCACGAACGCATGGTTTCACGCCTACACACGCCAGTTGTGAACACAGCTTAACACTTGTTTCACCAAAGCACCTCTTGTTTGCATCTGGCAACATGGCTTGAAGTTGATTAATGCTCAATGATAGTTCAGTTGACCAACTGTATGGAGTAGTTGTGTCAATTCGATACAGAAAATAACCGCTGGGCTCTGTTCATTCTCTTAGCAGTGGACATTGGTTACCAACTTACCAACGACACTTGGTGCCTTCTCACAGACCAGTATTAACGTTAGAACAAAGGAGTCTGTCGTCTCATATTCGGTGCCCTTGCGATAAGCTCTCTTCGGACTGAAGAAGAAGAAGAAGAAGGGAAATGCTCACCATCAAATGGTGGATAAAAACCGTTTCGACTGCTTTTTAGACAGTAACGGGTAAAGAAAAAAGGAAAAAGAAACTCATATAATGCAATTCGAAGAGATAGGCCCCCAGTACAGTTGGGGTGTGGTTGTGTCCGTATGGTATGGTGTGTCATGTACAGGTAGTTGCGTTGTGATGTATGGTAATTTGTAGGGCGAATGTCGAGTAGGCTATGAAAATAACGATTCGACAAGAACAAGTGACTACGAGAGGTTGGCAAGGTTGGCGATCGTCCACCCCCGGCCCTTTAGAGGCCGGAATGGCGAGTTCAAATCTTGATTTTAAGGACGTCCAACTAAGAAGAAGAAGAAGAAGAAGAAGAAGAAGAAGAAGAAGAAGAAGAAGAAGAAGAAGAAGAAGAAGACTTTTGCATACTGTAAGACCAGTAATGTTAAGTAAAAAAGTAAAGTTTGCACGTCCGCGTTACCACCGGCTATACAATTGCGTTGAGAAACACAACCAGCTTAGGAAGTTTCGCATGTGCCAGGCCACCACCATGCCTGTGCTACCAGGGTGGCAGATGCAGCGCCTAACGGCGAGGGTGAGGTGGTAAGTCTCACAACCAATGCCCAACAAGGGGGCTAACCTCGTTAGCTACATCCATGTTACCCTCACTCCGAGTAGTGAGTACCCAGTTGACCGTGGGTGTCGGCGCAGTTCACTGCATGTAAAGTGGTTCACGCATGCATCACCGCATTTGCTAGCACAGTACACGCTCCCTGCTCCCAGCGCGGGTCTCGAACTCGGGACCTTGTGATTCGCAGGCAAGCCCACAATCACTCGGCCAAAGCGCTGGTACTAAGACCAGTAATGTTAACGAACTCGTTAGAATTAAATGTTTGTTTAAGGGGCCATCCGTAAATATCGAACTTTTTTCACCAAACGAATTATTTTAGTTTAGACCCAACCCCTCCCTCCCTCCCCCTCAGAACGTAAAAATTGTTGACATATACTATACATGCATATACAACAAAAGTCGCAAGTGTGTCACTGCTCCTATGGCCATGTACATGTATCGAACTTTTCTGAAACGAAATTGGTCAACCCCCTCCCACCCCATAACGAAATTATTTCGTTTCGTGAAAAAAGTTCGATAATTATGGACAACCCCTTAACAAGACCAGTAATGTTAACGTCTTAACGAACATTTAATTCTAACGAGTTCCCTTTTTTTTTTAATTCGTTAACATTTGAAGTCGTTATATATCAAACGATACAGTCATTTACCGGTTTTGAGACAGCCTTAGTTAGAATTTCACCTCGCTAACCCACAAAAATCCGGAGATCGCTAACTTTAATTGGCGTTTAAAAAAATATCTGGTCTTACAGTATGCTACTAATGTACTTGACGTTCGCTCACAGTTGGCAGTACGCGGAGGGACTGGCTGCGAGAAGCCAGATTGTCCCGAGCATTGTGATTGATCCATCCAGGCACATACGCTGCTTGCCCAAGTCAGCTCACGGGTCACCCTGCACCACAGGGGCGTCGGAAGGTATTCAACATTGTTGCGGCCATGAAGAGGTGGGGGTCCAGGGCCCTAGCCCGGAATTTGTTTGAAAAATTGGGTCCGAATAGCCCATATTTTATTACAAGTACTTCAAAAATCGATGAAATTATTGGTGCGGCTTTGGCTGCTCCTGTGCCACTGGTTCCGACGGCCCTGCACCATAACAAATGTGCTTATCTTGTTTACACAACACGAAATTGTGCCGGAGCGGGAGGGGTAGTGGAGGCTCTGTTTTGCTTTCCGAGAAGGTGGACAATTCTGCAAACAAGCTAATGAAATGGTTGATGCCATGTCGCCGGAGGTTGAAAGGTGGCATGGGCTGCTGTCGCCGCTTTCTCCATCTGAGATGGCACTGCACCGTCTGGCTATTCTCTTGAAAATGTTTGCACCATTTAAAAATAATCCCGCTTAGAGCGTGCAATCTTTTCCTCCGCTTTGAGCGAGGAGAAGGACCAATATCATCAAAAGGTTCCTGTTTGAATCAATACCATTCCAATACTTCTGCTTGAGTACGTGAGTGAGGATATTTTCAGCGTTTTTTAGAATGCCCCTTGTCAGATCAATGCTTTGCTTTACTGCACGGTGTATCTGATTGTATGCATTACAGCTATACAAGACGGGACCATTCCGTCCATAGCTCTGCGGGTGCATGAATGCTCTGTCCTTATTTGCGTATCCATGTTCAGGGCAATCTCACAGCCGAGATTGGTACAGCGCATGGGCACGAAAGAAAACAATGGCATTTTCTGTACTTCTCTTGTTATTTACCTTCAACTTTCTCCAAGATGACATTCTACTGCCATTCCGGAGCAGTGGGTACACTATAGATAGGAGTGCAAAAGTGGGGCTTCTGCTTTTCTTGCGGCATTACTCTCTACCCCAAAGCATGAAGGCTTGAGCAATTGTTCCACGTCTCACCGCTTGTGATAGCAGTACGAGAAAATCACCACCAGACGAGAAAGGGTACTGGTTGCTCTGCCTAGTCTTACGATAGCAGTGCGGGAAACTCATCCCGAGTTGCGGTGGCAGTGGGATTGACACACCACATCCAAGTATGGTTCACGGACCAATGAAGCTGGGCCTGGCAGTGGTCTTCTTGTGTGTGTGTGCGCGCGTGCGCGTGCGTGCGTGCATGTCCGTCTTCTGTGTGTCAAGGCAAGCTGCTTCGGGTTGTCTGTCACGCCTTCACGCTTGAGGACCTTTGCGATACTTTCTATTTGTGCTGCTTTATTTTGTTTGTCTTTTGTTGGACTTGTAGAGCCTTTCTTCAGAAGCATGTTGGTCCGGTACGAATTGTTACCAGCTCTCGATCTTACACTAATGACAAAACATTCCTGACCATGGAGTTTGCATCACAGAATATGGTACGCGACGCCATTGAAAAGTAAGTGCACTGTATGTGTTTGTGTGTGAGTGTGTTGCTACTGTATATGCATGCCTGTGGTAATCACGCTCGCCCTGTGACACAAATGCCGCGCTATGCCAGCAGCTGAAATCAGATATGCCGACTGCGGCGGTTGCACTTGCTGTGTAGTAACTAAGGGCGCGTTCGAATTGTCACTCGTTGTCTTTTTGAGGAGTTTCGTTTTTCTGAAGAGGTGGCCTTGTTGGCCTCTTCAGAAAAACGAAACTCGTCGAAACTCCACAACCTCATCTGATGGGAGAGGTGGATTAGTTCCGAAGAGTTTGGAATAGCTACGTCGAGATGGTCGATCTGATCAGACATCATTATCGCCATGACAATTCCACTGAAAAACTCTAAAATGATAGAAACCGTTCTATTGGGACACTTCAACCAATCTCTTTTAAAAATTTGTTCGAAAAATGAAGACAATTCGAACACCCCCTGAGTGACATTGTAACCGCAGAGCAGCAGATTAGCGCTGATCACGGTGACCAGAGTTTAATCGTCTTTGACCGACCCCAGGTTTTTATAGGTCGCTATTGTTTCAGGAATTTATTTCTTCACAACGCAATTCCTGAAGCAGCGGTGGCTCATAACGACGTCTAATTGTAGTCCTGACTAAAGTGCAAGTATTACTTGCAAGTACATGTATGTCGCTCCAGTTCTAGAACTACATGTATTTGGAGAAAATATCTTCAAAGCGTTCTTGCGTGCAACAATCGAGCGCTCCAAATTTGGAAGCAGAGTTATGCCTACTGACACCAAAAATATATCTCAATCTTGATGCAGCATAAGATAGCAGACAATATCTTTCACTCCGCAAGTCCGTCTACGTTTTCCAACTGCCTCTAGTGGTAGGCATTGTTTTTAGAAGAATTTTATGTACAAGACCTTTCCAGCGTTGCAACAGTTTCGACATTCTTATTTGAAATTTCAAACAAAATGAGGAGGGATATGTCGAGCACAGCAGTGCACTGTCTTGTTGTCCAAATTATTCCGAGCTATGCAAAGACCAGACAGCGACTACAAGCAAGCCCAAAAAGGCTGTAGCTACTGTGCTTTGCCAATACACGACCATCACCAAATTAGCTTGCGCCTGCATTAAAAATATAATTAAGAACCCACTGCGATTGTTTGTCCCCAGAAATACGTCTGAAAGTGCGTTGCTGGGACTAAAGCCGTGTTCCCGACTGGCGCGTTGACGCGGTACGCTTGCGGTTCATGCGTGCCCAAACGCACGCTCAGGCTTTCACAAAAAAACAGCAATTCGACTCGTATTTAGGATTGTCGGATCCGTGTGAACGGGCAAAAACGAAACAAACGTGACGGAAACGAGGCCCATCACACCGTTTCGACGACTGTTCACACATCCAAATTTATCTGGCAGAACATTTCCGTTTTCAAATTCTTCCACCTTGGCGAGCGTTTGGTTTTCTTCCATTTTGGTGTACAACTTTTCCGTTTTACTCCGCGCACCGTGTGAATGAACCATGCATCCGGAAGGATTTGGTTGTGTTTTCACCCCCAGCGTTGTCGTGTAAACGCAGCCTAAGTAAGAGTGTCCTGTCACCACTTTGACAACTCCATTCCAATATCACATAATGGTAACTGGTGCGGTCAAATTAGTACTTTTTCCTTGGCCAGTTTCAGTCAACATGACTCCCACATAAAGTTGCCTGACTGTAACTTGTCTGAAGTGTTAAATAAATCCTTTTGTGAATTGTTCCGATTCTCAGCATTTCCCCGATTTTCCAGGCAGTTACAATCACCTGATAAGTTCTCAGTGCTGCTGTGCAAAGTGGGAATTGTACTCTCAACCCGTAGTTGCTTTCTATGCTGGACACTGTCTTTTAGAACATCTGCAAATTGACAACAACCGGCTTTTCCGATTTCTCCCTAGATTCTATTGTTGAAAAAGAATGGTGCTCTGAATTTATAATATTCCCTGGTGTCTGCCTGTCACTGACAGAAAATACACAGAAGTGTGTTGTAAGTGATTTCTGGATGCCTGTTGCCTGTTCATGCTTTGGGTGGTAGCTGCAGGCAGCTGTGGACTTTTCCCGTAGCCGCCTACTGGCCATAACTGCATTGCAGCTCCAGATTCAAATTTGCTTCAGAGATGTTTTCGTCGTACTCATGTGAAGACTCCAATGCAGCCTCGTATCTAACTTAGCAGAGAAATGGTGGTAAATACACGCCTGCCTACCCGCACAGTACTCTCTAGGCAGCAAACTTCTGGCAGAGAGCGCTCCTTCATTCACCCCCATCCATTTGCGCATGTCGATACATAGCTGGTTGGTGCATCAGTTAGCGCCCGGTGCATAACAATTAGGCGATGACACAGCGACGACTTGGCTCAGATTGCGCCGTGCGTTCCGTCCCTACAGGACTCGTCAGGCAATGTTGGAAGTCTTTAGAATGGAGCTTGACATAGCCTCATATATAGCAGAGAAATAGCTTGGACTTTGCTCGGACTGTGACGTACGTTTTGTCACTCAAGGACTCCTCAGGCGATCATAGACGTCTTGAATGGAGCTTTGCATAGTAGAATGATATCAAGACTCCAATGCAGCCTCATATAATAATAATATAATAATTATAGCAGAGAAATGGTGGTTAAGGTGGCACTCTGCCTTCAGAGGGTCAAAAAATGAATTTTTGAAATAGGTGTCGATTATGGTCTCAAACGTTTGGCATAGGACCCAGCCGACAGCTGAGAAAATTTGAGCGAATTCCATGCACGCACTCCAGAGATATAGGCGCTCAAAGAGGTAGTGCACAACGAAACTCAATTGCAAATTCAAATATAAATTGCAGTATTTCATCAAAAACGTATAATATTCATAACTTCGTCCAGGTTTAGAGTACCGTTCTCAAATTTCACAGGATTTGTCCCATGGGGTTTCTGGTTAGTTTGGAGATATCTGCGCATGGCACGGACCACTCATGCAGCAGTACATCCATACGCGCATCTGACAAAATTCAAATCGAAATATTTCGTTCTGATTTGTTCGATGTTGAGGTTATTTGTGGTGTTGCGATGGGAAGGAAACAGTGTAGTGGCCGTCCTGGACGTCCAAAGAAACGGATATTTCATGGCAGGAAGCCCCGCGAGCCTGAGCCAGAGAAATGCCCTCATCCTGCGCCTGAGTTGGCAGCCGACAATCCCATAGAGAATGTATTCCCAGATTTATTTGAAAATTCGTCAGACAGTTCAAATTCCGAGTCAGACCATCACAGCACAGACGACAGCGAGTCCGCCTAAGAGAGCAGCGAATCTGAGCCAGGATCCGACACTGAGAGCCAGGATGATGAAGCAGCGACCACCGGATATCGGCTGATCGACTTGGAGTGTCTTCAGAGCCTGCTGCAAAAACTGGTGTCTCTTGTAATGCCTGTCATAGCAATGTCACCCTCAAGGAGACCAAGAGAGAAGGCCTGGCTTCCACTTTGAGTGTTGTCTGTGACAGATGTGACGCAGAGGAGACGGAGACCATGTCCAAAAAGTTCAATCGTGTTTTGGAGGTCAACAGAAGATTTGTTTTGGGCATGCGCTTGATTGGAAGGGGCCATCAAGCCATGGTGAAATTTAGTGCGGCCCTCAACATGCCTAAGCCCATGTCCCTGTCTTCCTACCATGGCCATACCACGTCTTTGGCTTTGTCTGCTGACACTGTGGCGGAGAGGAGCATGGACATCGCTGCTGCTGAGATTCGCAATCCCCCTGACGTCACTTGTGAGACAGCCGTGACATACGATGGCTCATGGATGCGCCGTGGACATGCTTCACTGTATGGATGCTTGCGTGGGGCGACACAGAACCGCAACGAGTGCTTCAATGGCTTGGTGTGGCAGATGTGCCCCAAGACCGGCTTCTGTTCTGCCAGGATCGTGCAAATGGCTATTGCCCTTGCTGCTGCATGGTTCAATGACGGCCCAGCGTCCATCTCAGCGTTGCTGACGGAAATGGGACTCCCCGTTGGCAGTTGCACGGCGTCAGCACTGGGTCAACTCCAGCTTGACAGACAGAAGCATGCAGCAAGGAAGAGGTCTGCAGAGGTCAAGAGGAGGAGGAAGAGGCGAAGAAGAGTTCGCAAAGGTATCCAGGAAGAGGAAGTAGCTCAAGAAGGTGTCTCATACGAAGCTGGTGGCGTCTAGGTATGTGCTGTGACACGGGATCTTGTTGCTGCGGACCCAATGTGAAGTCCCTTTTTTGACCATTTTTCCATGACTGTGCTGGCTCTTAACCAGGCTGTGGCCTCTCCTGTAGCTGGTACACCCATAAAAGTATATATTTTCTGTTTCTGCATGGTGTAGGCTAGACATTGAACCAAAGCTTACCTGCCTAGCAGGTGACATAACCAGTATTGGTGTTCTGAAATATTGACGAATGTTTACGAATGTTTACGCGAAATCAGTATTTTCGCTGTAACGAAGCTATCTGAGTAGGAGATTTGCATATTTTGCTAATCTTTGGTTCAATGTCTTCATTTATGTTTCTATTAGCCTGCCAAGTAGACATTTTGGTCATCTTATACATGAGTTTTTCAGCACTCTGGTGAAGAGTGAAGTATACGGGCATTTTTGAATTTTCAAGCTATGCTCAGAATTAACTGTCACTGTTCATGCCTAAGGGTGTGCACATGGACCAGATATCCATAGAGAACTTGTGTAGAAAATTTGAAGTAATTATCTCTACCCAATCCAAAATTACGGATGTCAACGTGCCGTACGCCCACGAAGGCAGAGTGCCACCTTAAGACTTGGAGAAATGGCGGTATATACACGTCCTTCGAAGACATCCAAGATTGCCTGATTAGTCCTGGAGGGATGAAACGTACGTCGCAATCCGAGTCAAGTCGTCGCTGTGTCATCGTCTATGCGCCAGGATGTGCCAGCCAGCTACCTTAAAAGCCTGTGTATACGCCCACTCTAAATTACGCCCACCCTCCGCGTGCAAGCCCAGTCAGGGGAGAACACTTTTGTTTCAAAATAGCGCCCATGCCCATGTATGCGCCCAGGCGTGCCCGCAATACCAGTACAATGCCGCAGCAATCAATACCCGTACAGGTACCGATACTCAAAACTTTCTGTTATGTTGATGGATGTGCTTCAGGACCGTTCTTCCTAACCAGAACACTGTTTCTAGTTCATTGAAGCGGGGACACTGTATTTATAGTGTGCATGCTCGGCTAAAAATTGATGCGGATACAGTTAATGAGCATGGGGAGAATTTCAACATTTTCATTCCAAGTAGTCAAGTATGCACCCATGCCCTTGTACACGCCCACTAAATCGAGGCTGCTATTCTATATACCTGGGGCCTGTACACGGGCCTTTACGGTACCAGTATGTGGATACCGCCAGCCGTGCAGCACCTATGCACCATGCACAAACAGATGGTGGTGGTGGTGGTGGTGGTGGTGGTGGTGGTGAAAGAAGGAGCGTTCTCTACTAGAATTTTTCAGCTTAGAAAGCGCTGTGTGGGAAAACGTGTATTGAAACCACTATTTCTCTGCTTCTTTTAGCGTAAAGCCACCTTTGTAGTTCCTTGGTTTTTTTAGCAGCATTGTTGTTTGGTAAACTAATGGCACTGAAGTGCTTAGAAGAAAGGCATTCGAGCTGACAAGCTAGTTCCCAAAACTCTGCAAAACACTGAACATCGTTTTCACATCAATTCTTTAGCAACGTTTCGCGATTTCCTGTTCCTTTGCCTAGCTTGCACATTGACCGGATGATGGCGAAATGCCGAAATGTTGCTAAAAAGATTGACAAAGTGTCTGAATTCCTTGCTGCAAATACAGTCAGACCTCGCTTATCCGGTCCTCGTTTATCCGGATCCCTCGCCATCCGGAAGAGAATCGCTGGTTACCGATGTGCAGCATATGTTATGCATACAACATAACCGGACCTCGCGATCCGCATACCGGTGCAAGATTTTGCGTACAAACTGGTTAAAATGTGTACAAAAAGCTTCGTCGTATCCGGTTGCACGTGGCTTGCAGAAGCTAGAATCAGGAAGTTGTACAAGCAAACGAGGTCCTTGACCTGCTGGGTGCATGCAGACAGCACTCAGCTGCATGCACTTGTCATTTTTCTCGCTTGTTTTACATACTGTGCACGCTAGTTGTACTGCATAGGACCCGTCTACATGTATGTATGACGCCACTGCTTTTGACATGCCGCATGCATATCCAGTATGTGTGTTCAGTTATCCGGTTCCCTCGCCTATCCGGATATTTTTGTGGAAAACAGATGTGTGCGGTTAAGCGAGGTCTGACTGTAGTGCTCAACACCTTAACAAGGGCAGAGTGCACTACACAAGGCAGAACAACAGAGACCAAAAAGCTTTCTCGTTACTCCGAGTTTCGTGTTCAAAACACTCCTCAGACGATAAAACATAATAATGCTATTCGCTAGTTTTATTTGATAAATATGGTGGTAAAGACACACCTGGCAATATGGCGGTAAACACACGCCTGCCCACACACGCTCTCTAGGCTGCAAAGTTCTGGCACAGAGCTCTCCTTCTCACCACCACCACCATCAGTTCGCGCCTGGCGCCTGGTCGATGCATGGTTGGCGGTAAGCAGGCTGGTACATCAAGTAGCGCATGGCACATAGAAGATGACACAGCCACGACATAGCTCGATTGCGACGTACGTTTCGTCCCCGCTGGACCCATCAGGCAATCTTCTTCTTGGATGTCTTCATACGGAGCTTGACTCAGGAGAATGAAGTTGAAGACACCACTGCAGCTGTACTTATGGTTGATAAAGACACACCTGGCAATATGGAGGTAAACACAGAGCAATATGTCGGATACTGCCAACCATGCATCGACGAGGCGCCAGGCGCGAACTGATGGTGGTGGTGGTCAGAAGGAGAGCTCTGTGCCAGAACTTTGCAGCTTAGAGAGCGTGTGTGGGCAGGCGTGTGTTTACCGCCATATTGCCAGGTGTGTCTTTACCACCATATTTATTATTTATCAGCCATAAGTACAGCTGCAGTGGTGTCTTCAACTTCATTCTCCCGCTAGTTATATAGTTAAAGGGGAACTGTCACCAAAAAAATTCTTTGTCTTATCTTGTAGTTCTTTGGCTCCTGATCACGATGGTGTTATCCGTTTTTCTCTGCGATGGCTGGAAGTGGGTGAAAACTTGAAAAGAAGGTGCCCAGAATTGTCCCGAAGTACCGAGTGACGTCACGCCGGACTTGACCTCCACGCGTACATTCGTCGTCAAAAACGAAGCATGGAAGTCCAGCCCGTGTGCTGGTCGATCGAGGTAGCTGTTCCAATGTACGGTGCACGTGTGCCTTTTGAACTTTAACACAGATGGGTACGTCGTGCCGAAGGAGAATGCCAAAGAGGCAGAGACCCACGTGCAGCTACACAGCCAAATCAAAGTAAAAAGCAGCTGAGCTTTCACCTTTTTGACTTCTTCCTAAGTAAGTTTTATTTTGTGAACACGGAAGTCGTTGTTGTTTTGAACTTTTCGTGTGAGGAACAACACGATGATGAGTGCGTATGCAGAAAACAGTACTCCTCCGGCCGGCGATAACACCACCAACCCGAGCCCCAAAGGAACGCGATGTAGGTACGTGAAGGCGATTCATCTGGCGATGTTGCTGAAGATGCAGATGACAAACTCTGACGTCTTTCATTTCAGAGCCGGGTGTGCAACACCGCCACCTTCGATACAACGACATAATTTTCAAGTACGAGGTATGTGTGTCACACTAACAGCAAACAAACATCCTTCGACTCCTTCGTAATCACAAATAAAACAAAGAGCTGGAGCTTCGTGGAGGAAGTACCAGTGCGACAAACTGCTGTCGACTTTTGTTTATTTTGTCCCTTTTTGGCGTTCTCATTGTGTACAACGTACACATCGAGTGTCCGAGTTCAGAAGGCAAGCGTGCACCGTACATCGAACAGTTGGCTCGATCGACCAGCACACGGGCTGGACTTCGTTTTTGACGATAAATGTACGCGTGGAGGTCAAGTCCGGCGTGACGTCACTCGGTACTTCGGGACAATTTTGGGCACCTTCTTTTCAAGTTTTCACCCACTTCCAGTCATCGCAGAGAAAAACGAATAACACCATCGTGATCAGGAGCCAAAGAACTACAAGATAAGACAAAGAAAATTTTTGGTGACAGTTCCCCTTTAAAAATTTGATGTGAAAACGATGCTCAGTGTTTTGCAAGTTATGGGAACGAGCTTGTCAGCTCGAATGCCTTTCTTCTAAACGGCAAGAAGCCTCACCCTTACTTCTGAACTGAAGTGCTTGATGCTCTTATTGACAGAGGTCGGGTTCTTGTCTCTTTCAACTCTGCAGCTATAACTACTCAAGGATCAATGGCTGCTTGATCAACATCAATCGCTTCCGCAGTAAGAACATGCAAGGGCGCAATGCATTTGGCGGGTTTCAGAAGGGCTTTACTGTGAAGCAGGACGGCTCGCGACAGGGCCGTGTCCATCAGAGTGTGCGGGGTCGAATGAATAGTAACTTGTCCAAGCAGGAGCGCGAGCGCATGATGGACGAAAAGATGCGCCAGATGTCACCCGCGTCGGCAGCACGCTACATCGAGTCTCGCCTGAATAGGCAGCGCGACCAAAGCGACTCTCGGTCTCGCTCCTCATCGTACTCGTCCCGTGGTAGTCGCCGACGGGGTCGTTCCGGCTCTCCCTCCTACTCTCATTCCCGCTCTCGGTCGCGATCCTACTCGCGCGACAGGTCCTACTCAAGGTCCAGAAGTCACAGCAGAAGTCCGCATCGCGCTGGCAGACACAGCAAATCACCCTCCTCCAGGACTCACAGCGTATCACGTTCGAAATCACGCTCTCCTCGGGCTCGATCACATTCGCATAGCCGAACACACTCACGCAGCCGCAGTGGCAGCCATCGGAGAAGCGGCAGCTATGATGAAGACAACTACCGGCATCGGCGGCGCCGCTCCAAGAAAGGCAGGAGAAGACATCGCTACTCAGACAAAAGCGACGATGAAGATGGTGATAAGAAGGTATGTCAACGTGTACAGTCGTGTAGTTTTGTGCCGACTATGTGTCGCCCGCGTGTCCTGTGCTTCACCTCCGTCTAAACAACTACATGTACCTTTTTCTAGGGCCTGCTAGACTGTCTCCTGTGCTGTTAGGATCAGAGGGATATGAGTCTTTGTGTGCCCGGTATTCTACTCTACTCTACAAGTATTTTCTGCTCTGCTCTGCTCTCTCTCTCTCTCTCTCTCTCTCTCTCTCTCTCTCTCTCTCTCTCTCTCTCTCTCTCCTCCCTCCTCTACTCCCCTCCCGCTCCTTTCCCATTGTCTCTCTCTTGTTGACATCGTGACCGCACCAGAAAATAAATTGTGAAACTGTTTTGCCGCTGTTGCTCACCGCTTTTGTGTTGCAGAGTGGTGGCATTGAGAGCATATCTGTGGGCGATGTCATGCTGTCCGTTCCTCTTGACACTTTGACCGAGGATGAGCAGAAAAAGGTCCAGGAAAAGCGAGAGGAGATGTCAACGGTATGAATGTGTGTGTGTGTGTGTGTGTGTGTGTGTGTGTGTGTGTGTGTGTGTGCGTGTGTGTGCGTGTATGTGTGTATTGGGTTCTTGATGGTATACCGGTATGTGTGTATTGGGTTCTTGTCATGATCATGTTGCAGCTCACAGGATTGCATTTCACGTTCACATTTGTCCAGCTGTGCATACCTTTAGCACAAGACTGCTCTATGCTGCTCTAACAAAACAGAAGACCAATACAACACTTTGTGGGAGGCATGCTTATTGTAAATATCTTGTGTATAGGGCTAAGGGGCCGGTCACATTGAGGGAACCATCCTCAGATTATAAACCGGGAATAATCTTTTCTGCTTTTCATCACGGTCACACTGGATACGCACAATGAAAATAATCTCACCTACACGAGCTACATTTTTTGTCACCATCCGCTTCTGGCAGTCTATCAACTCCGCTCCTGGGCCAGAGCTGCATCAGCAAAGCCTCTAGAGTATCGCTCCACTTCAGAACGCAATAAAAAAAGGAAACTCTAAGAAATCCAGTGGAAGCCGCGGATGATTATAATCTTCGGCGGAAAAGCGGGGCCTCGAGCTGATTTTCATCGAGTGGATTAAATCTCTCAAATCTCCCGCCCAGCGGCAAATGTCCATGGTAACCACGGATTTTTTTTCAAAATTTCCCTCAGTGTGACCGGCCCCTAAGGGCCTGTCTCCATAGTAACTTGCCGCCAGAGCGGCAAAAGCGAGAGTTGACGCTCCAAAAAAAAGCAAGAACGGACCACGCTTTTCCGCTCCAAACAGGAGTTTGACGCTGATATCCACTGATTTTTTCATCTCGATATCGAGGAGCTAATTGGCCACGGACAACAACAAAACTCACAAGGATGGTTGCAAGGATTGCACTGAAGGTGTTGGCGACCCCCAAGGTGAAGGAATTTGACGTCGTTCGTGGAGATTACCACTTGACGCTCGAAATGAAGTTTGAATTTTCATTCTCCCCACATGTGTAGTGTGATCGCGATTCAAATTCTGGACGCTTTTCTTTTTTCGTCAGGCAACCAAAATTTGCCGCAGTCTGACCAGGACCGTCACCAGGCCCTAAAAGGATGATGGCATATACTGTAATTTCACAAATTTTCGGTGTACTTTTATTCTCGGTACTTTTGGTGCGTCTGTTTCATACTTAAAATTTCTATACACCGAACAAACACCTAAAATTTGTAGTAGCGAGTAGCTGACAACTCGTGTTTCCCCATTGTGCCGTGTGTGTATGTGTGCATGTGTGTGTGTGTGTGCATGCGCGTGCGCGCGCTCGCATGTGTGTGCGTGTGTGTGTGTGCATGTGTGATTTATCAACAGGAGTTTCGTCAAGATTGCGACACTGTTATCCAGGTGGCAAGACTCTTCTCTAACTACAGTCGTCATGAGCGTGACCTGGAGAAGATGCTTCGTCGTTCATTGGCTGCAATTGGCCAGCGGTACGTCAGTGACTTTGAAGGCTGGTTGAAAGAAACCATCCCGCATTCTGTCGAAACTACCAACCAAACCGACACTGCAATTGAAGCAACGTAAGCCTGCATCAAATGATGTGTTGCTAGGCTTAGTCTATCATTCCCCGTTGTCATCATCGACTTCTTCTCCTTCTCCTTCCCGGCTCTCTTCCTTCTTCTTTTTTAAAGTCCTGCTTAGCACAATGCCTTGCAGTAACCCACATATCAAACACATTGCCGATTTATCCTATTTATTATCTGAGACCCCCTTGAGACAAATACTTTTATTCACACAACAGGTGACATTATTTGTACATAGCCGAGAGCTGTACGGGGTCGCACACAGCTCTGTCATTTTACCATGTATATCAGTTTACAGGTCTAGTATTTCCCTTCAAAGTACTGGGTTCGTGCCACATCAGCTAAGCTAATAATTGCTCAGTTTTTTAGGTTTTGCACGACAGATGGAGTCTGGAGTCGCACGCTCAGTTCTTCATCACAGATGGAGTCGATTTTCATCTACATTGCAGTCTTGTGAATAGCAACAAAAGTCTGTATTGTGCTACTGTGATTATGAGTTTGTAGATCTACGAGGCGCACTGCCTGCATCGTGCCCTGTACTCGTGCACTCAAAACCCATGCAGGACCACTCTTGCTCACCAGTTCTTGGTTGATCTGTACAAGATTCTACAAGATTCTAGTGTGGTCCCTACAATGTTCTGCACACACACACACACACACACACACACACACACACACACACACACACACACACACACACACACACACACACACACCATGCAGTGCGAACGTCAGTTTCAAACCAGGGAGTAGTACGATACTTTTGTACTACTGCCTGTTTCAAATCACAAGTGTGGTTTTGATATTCGACACTGCTGAAATCGTATGATGAGGGCAGTGTGCCAGCCTCGGCACCTGGCAGTAGGAAAATGATCACAGGCTTGCATGGTTGGGTGGTGCCCTTTTTGTATTACAGTTACTATTAGTTCAGCAAGTTAGTAATTTGGTGAACGGATGCAACTGCATCACACTAATCTCTACTGTACATGCAGTTGCATGCCGCTTATCAGTCGTGCGGCTCGTCACTTATCCAACAGTCCACTGATAGATACACTGTATATTTACATTTATTTACATATCTCCTTCACGTGGATGCGAACTGTGACCATCATGAAGATGCTTTTATGTAATGTTACATAGAAGCCAGTCTCTAAGACATGAGCATACTAACTGTTTCAAGGTAATACCAAGAGTCCATAAACAAGAGTGTGCAACGCGCGATAGGGTCTTGTAACGACTCGTTTTCAACATTACGTCATTTTCATGTACATTTTCATGTAGCGAATGTCGTGGCCTGCACGCGCAGCTACATGAAAATGACGTAATGTTGAAAACGAGTCGTGACAGACATCTATGTGGCGTTGCACACTCTTGTTTATGGACTCTTGGTAATACCAAAAACAGATTATCCAAAAATTAATACAAGTAGACTCGCGCTACAATCCAATTTTGCTGTGTGTCAACCATGCAGGGAGTTGTATAGACATACAACTCCCTGGTGTCAAGGTACCGGAAGTATCATACCTCATGCATACAATAATTACATGTGTGCAAAAAGACCGGCCTAATCTTCTACTTCAACACACATGTGCTATTTTAATAAAAGGTGGTCTCTCGCTACACACACATAAATGCCTGCTCATCCAGGCACGTTTGTGTACTCTTGCATGCATGGAGTTGCTTCTTCAACAGTCAGAAGTAGACTGCATGCACGACTGCATTGCTGGGATGTTGCGGGTGTCCATCCTTACATGTAGCATTCCGCGAGCCTATAGACCTTATTCGATAAACGTCACAATCACGTGAACCGGGGTCCCGGGAACCAGGGAGTGGCAAGAGATCTGCGCTCAGTGCACAGTGGACTCTGTGTGCGAACATAGGAGTAGATAAATACCGGTATTTTACTACTCTTTTGTACAAACTGGGCCTTTCTTGCCACTCGTTTCTCGTACGCGTGCCCTAGCTTATGACAAATCCCTGGAGGCGAGTCCAAAAATCACGTTATCGAATAAGGTCTATACCTGTAGCGTGGTAGTGCTGGCAAGAGTACATAACCCCCGGGTTATGTACTCTTGGTGCTGGGCATAGCTATCTTGCAAGTACATGTACGTCTATTGCTACCACAGGTGCAACATGCAATCTTGTCATTCGTGCCTACAGTTTTCGTTGGTCGAACAAGTCATACCCCGTCCATCTCCACTACAACCAGTGCATATGGAACAACAGCATTGCGATGCACTGTGTTTCGATACTAAACGAGCTACTTGTACAACTTTGAAGTCCAGCCATGACATGGATTTCATTGCACAAACTCAACGCCACGTGCAAACATTCACAGTTGTGGAAAATAGCTTTTTCTTCTTCTTTCGGTTGTGGAGCAGATGAAGAAATATAGTGTAAATAAATAACAGGCAATAGCATCATTCAAAATGGCTGCCCATCTAGATCAGCACCAGCAACAGTAGCAAGGCAATACTTAGCAAGGCATCGTCCCACCTGCAGGGGGGCGATCAGCGGGTTAGTGTTGAGTTCAGTCCTCGGCGGCCAAGACTAACCATTTTAAGACGGCGGACAAGTGCTCAGGTTCAGAACACCGCTTGAGAGAGCTGCGGTGTTATACTGGACTAAACAATCTCAGTTTGTCGTTCGTGTTACACATACATCGACACGGCAAACTGCAGGCTGGGAGCGAGAGCGTGTTTCAGTGTGACACAGAGTCGCGAGTGCCTGAAACTATAGCTCATCTTTCTCTCTAAAATCATCGTCATCATCACTGTCGTCATCATAATCTGGAGTCAAATACACACAAGCATCATCAACAAATTCACAACAATCATTCATCAAAAGTTCAAAACCAATGCATGAAGAAAATGCAATGTAATATTGACACAACGTGTTGTAGCGAAGTCTAGCACCGTAGATATAAGGGACCGTCTGGGGTTACCGATTGTTTTCTTCTTCCTTTCTCAAAATGAAAAGTTTTAGCACAGTAGTATTTCCTAGCTCCCACCCAAGTACCCACCACCCTTTCAGCAGGTAAAATGAATTTCAACAAAATAAAATATCGACTTCAATCTTCGGCACCCAGCACGACCCACAGCGCCTGACAATTCCCGCGTGTAATCACATGCCATGTAACGAAACTCCCAACACCCCGCCCCCTCCCCCCCCCCCCCCAAGCGAAAACTTTCATTTTGAAAAATACCTATCCGTACATCTTGACAACACTCTCCAAACGGTCTCTGGGCTACACCAATCACTAAAAGAAAAAGAGATACTAAAATTAGAAACTCGGATGTTGAGCCATAAATAAATGTAGAAAGGAAAAGGACATAAGGATACGAGTTTAACGAATTTTCGGGCAAGGCCCATCTTCAATCTCTTTTTCTTTTTTAGTGATTGGTGCAGCCCAGAGACCGTTTGGAGAGTGTTGTGAAGATGTATGGATATAGTGGATGGCTACAGTGGAGTCTTCGCATTTTGAGAAATTGAAAAATACCTGGTAATTCTTATGGCTCAGACAGGCATAGGATACTGAAGTTTCACTGTAATACAAAAGCATGACTTTTGTGAAGAGCATAAGCTCGAGAGTTACAACGGACTTTTTCATCCTCCACTTCTTGGAAAAGCATCCATCATATTGGCCCTATTAGCATCAGACTGTCAGACTGGCAAACACGGAATAACGCTCACCTGGTGCCTGTTCAGGCTCTGGCTGGCACTTGTCGGCGACGAGCTCATGTCCCTGAGCGCAGTCACAGCGGAATGAGCCAGCGGTATTCACGCAGACCTGCACACTGGCCTCGCAAACGCCATCTCCCTGGCTACACTCATCCACATCTGGTACAACAACGACAAAACAACAAAACAACAACAACACCACCATCATTAAGCTAAAAAGAAAGAACACACCCGTAGCAACAAGTTACAACAAGCAGCTGCAATGTTGGGTGTAGTTCATAAGTCGAGAAAAGACAATCTTGCAGAATCGTCCACAAGAAAACAACATGACGGGCATATTGTAACATAGCAAGAACTCATCTGAACTTCAAGCAACTCCCTCAAACTCATGAATATTCAACTCCCTCAAACTCATGAATATTCAAATGCTGTAGTCATGTTTCTGCTGAACCTGAAACCCTACTGTTGGCAAAGCATGACGCATTCAAATCAGTCGGAGCATGGCACACTTCACGGATAAGTGCTATGGGAAAATATGCGTCCAACAAGCTGTAGTTGAGCGATTACTCAACCCAGCCAAGTCAGGAATGCAGAGAGTGCTGTTGTGGAGATGCAGCTCACCTGAACACATACTGTCCTGCAGGACATAACCGCCAGCACACTTCAAGCACGAGTCTCTGCCATTGCCCTTACAGCCATCACAGGAAGAATCGCAATCTGAAACCAATAAAAAGAGGACACCAAGACCATGTCAGGGACGACAACCATATACAATAGCATTCCTCCCACAAAGGACTCAAGCTAATAATTATTATTGCACTAGAGGCCATCCGTAATTGCCGATCTTTTACACGAAACGAAAAAGTTTCGTTTATGGGTGGGTCGAGGAGTTTCGTTTTGAAAAATATCGATAGCTGAACCACCAAGCAATTCTAGCTGTCGAGTCGATACGTGTTGTCGTTCAGTGTGGTGGGTAGGTGGGTGAGGGTCATAACTAAACTTTTTCGTTCCATGAAAATTATCGATAATGCCGGATGGCACCTTACTACATAGCCACTCAACAAGCGGGCGAAGAAAATAATTTGCACACTGGCGCACGATTCTGGAAGTACAATGCAAAAACGGCAAGCGTATACTCAGAAAGAAGGGCGATGCACTGAAGGAGAAAGGTAGAGGTAAAGGGAGAGGGAGAAACAGAAAGAGATAGCATACAGTCATGCATTATCATGATTGCAATACCGGTGCTTACCGCGACATTCAAAGCTGCCTATCGTATTGTGGCAGTAAGTGGTGAAATTACAACCAGGGTAGAGCTGGTTCGGATCCTCTGGTCTAGGTGGAGGCAACCAGCGTGACTGGTGATCCTTGCACTCATCAACATCTGTTGTAACAGGGCAAAGTGAAATGTACAGTGAGTAAAGCACACAAGGAAAAAATCAGCAGCTTATGGACTTCAATGGTATGACTTACTTCGAAGTATATAATATTTGTTACACTTGTAAGTAGCAATGTACACGGATGAGCCATGAACATGCACAGGAATCACACACAGAGACACACGCAACTGTTGCTGCCAAACGATGGCACTCACCTTGGCACGCTTGAGTGGAGTCATCGCGCTGGTACCCGGATGCACACTCGCTGCACTTGTCCGCTCCACGTCCGGTGCAAGAGTCCTTGCATGCGGTGTCGCAGGCGGCGCACTCGTAACTGCCGGCAGTGTTGCGGCAGTACGTCGACGGGCGATTCTTGCACGGCGCCTTGTCAGCATCCAGACACTCATCCTGGTCCAGGCAAGTGCCACCTTCCTCCTCGTAGCCGTCAGCACAGTCCTCACAGTCACTGGGCGTTGCACCGGTGCAGTTTTTCTCGCACGCAGACGAGCAGCGCAAGCATTGCACACTGCTGCTCGGTGTGTCCTCGGCACTGGCAGTATCGGACGCGTTGACGTAGTAACCAGCAGAGCACTTTCCACACGTCCTGCCGCCGTAGCCGGAGTTGCAGGAACACGTTCCCTTGCCGGCACGATCACCAGCGCCGTCGCAGGTGCCTTGGCCACTGCACGGTGTCGAGGAACCACCGGGGCACTCTGCGCACTTCTTGCCAAAGGTGCCCTCCGGACAGCACACTGCAAGCAAAGAGGACAGCAGCCAGGTGTTACCAAAGGATAGGAGCATGACCGCATGTGCTCAAAGAAATCTGATTGACATCAGGTTCACAAATGAGGGGGGAAATGGAAGACACGAACACATCCAACTTGACTAACCTTTGATATTCTGTATGCACAGCCACAGCTGAAGATCTGGATGCTTCTTCTGGTTTTCAAACCACCAGGTTTCCACAAGCTCCTCATGCTCCTCAATCAAATACTGGCACTACACACAAACAAACAAAAGACCAGGCATACCGGCAATATGATTATATTGGAACATTAGATGAAATACCTATCAAAAGAACACAAAAGAACACAAATGCACACACACACACACACACACACGCGATGCAAGATTCATGCATAGCACAGCAACAAGCCCTGTTTTTGCCAAGTTTTCACAGTGCACATATCACCAATGCACCATCATCCATTGGACTCGCTATTGATCGACTGCGATACAGATTATACAACACTGATTGTCAGCCACCAAGCGCGCTGCACAAGCCAGCGTGAGGTGACTTCAGAGTTTCAGACATGACTTGCTCTAGACTTGTTAGGTCCACATAGAAGAAGGCAGTATTACCTTATGGTCTTTGGTGCAGACGCCTTCCATAATCTCAATCAGTCGGGTCTCACTGTGCACAGAGAGGACAGGAAAACAAAACAAGTACATTAGCTTGGCCTAAAAAAACCCAGTAACATAACAGGCCCACCGGAACCAGTCCGGTTGGTCAGGTTATCACTGGACTAACGTTTTGGCCACCAACATGTGTTTACTACTGTGGAGGGCATGTGTATCCACCATATCGATATACAACCTATGAAAGGCCACAATACTACCGGACCAATCAAAAACTGCTTCCGCCGGTCCTGAGTACTGCTATATCTTCCCAGCTGTACACTTCCCAATGAGATATGTATGCATGCAATGTCATATTAATAGGATGCCACAGCGCGGGAAGAAAACTGTATGCCGGTTCCAGGAACTGAGTTTTTCATTCACACTCCACACGACCGGTGTATACAATACATAGGCACTGCACAACGACATAATTAAAAAAAGGCATTTTGGCACCTACTAGAATATGTAATCAACTGATGTTGCCCACTTGCTCAGTGTGAGGGTAACAAGGATGAAGTTTATACTGACTGCTACTACTAGTCACTAGGGCATTAGCAAGAGTACATACTTGTAATCAAGGCTGTGCAACTCCTATCTTCAGCTGCGGCGGACTCATTCACAGCGGGGGTTTTATGGTGTCACACAAAATCTGGCATAGGCTGAGAGGTCGTAGAGTTGCACATTCTTGGCCATCTCTCTCTCTCTCTCTCTCTCTCTCTCTCTCTCTCTCTCTCTCTCTCTCTCTCTCTCTCTCTCTCTCTCTCTCTCTCTCTCCTGGTATCAGGGCATAGGGGTGAACCAATGATGCCAGGGTTTTGCATGAGCATTTCTCAATACTCCGGTGATGCAAACGCAACTCCGACTACCGCATTTTCTCTAATAAAAGCCCAGGTCTCCAATAATAGCCCAGTCTCTAATAATGACTCAGGGTGAGGGTTGTTCGTAATAATAAGAGCACAGTCTCTAATAGTAGCGCAGGCCACAATTGGAGTATGCAGCAAGTATACTGACTGCATATAAAACAGTAGTACAGCATGCCAAGCACATATTTGTAAGTTTTCGGTCTACTACTTCCTTCCTGACGCCCATGCTATTGCGAAACATCAGGTTTAACGATATTCCTGAGTTTAGGGTTGAGAAAATCAGTCTTGATACGGTCAGTTTATGCCTATATAGACTGGAGTTGGCTTGATAGTGGAGCATTGAAAAAATAAAAGCAGAGTCTCTGATAGTAGCACGGGTAGAGATGTCACTGAAAAATAAGAACCCCGGGCTCTTATTAGAGAAAATACGGTATCTATGAAAGGCCAGAGATAATTATTGCATATGACGTCACTATTTCCACAAAACTCGAAGTGCCCGTAACTAATTACAATCATGTACTTGGGTTTCCGGATACCTGACGTATGAGTGTAGCTCAAAATCAAAGGGAGAACTGAATGTAATGGTGTATAACTAAATGAAACGCTCAATGAGATCGAGTAAACACCGAAAGCGGCCATACTGAGGATCCAGCATTGGTAAAACAAGAGAGCTACTAAGCTCATTGCCCTCGCTATGCTTCATTTTTAACTAAGTCATCATGCGTGTTGTTCGAACTGCTAGAAACGTCTTTGCAATACAAGATTCAAGAACATGTACCTTCACGGTGCGGTACAGTCGAGATAGCGCACTAGGCTTGGCGACACTAGTCATGTGGGTTGTGCCCCCCCCCCCCCCCAACACAAACATACAACAAAATAAAGCGCTGTGGACCCTGGCTAGCGCCAGACGCTACGAATGGAACGTCTTTTACAGAGCTTTGGGCATAAAGTGTCATGTCTCTGTACTGCGTGATACATAATGGTTGTACATGTATTCCCAGTGCTTTCCACGATTTTTAATTTAGAACAAACTTAAAAAAGATGACCTCATAGATGTGATTCTCTCCTACCTGGTAGCATAAGAGAGTTGTTTTTCTTCCTCCCATGCAACATCACCACCAGCGAAATTGTCTCGTGCCGTTCTTTCCTTGCCCTAGATAAAATCAGATGGATCTCACTGGCTTCATACAACAGACTAATGTTCACTGAGACCGGACACAATACTGAATGGGTACCTTTGCAAAGTCCTCAACCAATTTCTTGCATGCTCCACATTTCGTGGTGCTGTCCTCAGCTGTGGCGATTCTCAAGCAACATGTTAGCCACAGCGATGCTAAGATCGCAGGCACCAGCACAGTTCGTGCGAGCATATTACCAAGAAACTACAGTCGCAAACCTCATTCAAAAGGTCCAAACAAAGCAAAAACCAAAATACTCCCAGCAGACCTGATCTGAGTCCTGCTCATTCCACGTCAGCTGAGAGTGCTACTCACCAGCATGCAGCAGAGGCCAGGGAGTTTTACTACTCCCTGCATGCACACACTCGATCAAGGTTCAAACAGAAAACATCTTTCCTGCCAGCTGTTCCCCGCACGCGCACCGTCACGGCGCAAGGTACGAGTTGTACGGCGCTAGCGCTACCGGCCTACCGCGCACGGGGTGCGACGCGGTACGCCTGCTAGCTGCTATGACATCACAAATGAAGAGTATTTTTTTGCAAATCATAATGGCGGCCAGCGTGAAACTCAGGATCGCATATATCGGTGAAGAAAGATAACTCAAAAAATGTTGTTTGGTTTGGCCTTTTGAGTTTCCACGATGGCGATGTACGAGAAGGTTTGCGTTCACCCTCTTGTGGTGTTCGCAATTGCCGAGAGCCATCAGCGGCGAAACGAGGACCAGAAGAGAGTCATCGGTACCCTAACTGGCAACGTTGTGGACGATGTTGTGATCGTGAAGGATTGTTTCGTTGTCCCACACAATGAAACCCATGACGAGGTAATGTTCTCAACAGAAATGAAGTGTGGTTGATTCGTTTGCCAGGGAATTTCTACCCTGTATCCATTTCCCTTGTGTCGAATGTGATGAAGGAAATGGGCTTTCATTTAGTGTGCTGTGCCTTCAAGCTCATTCGAAAATGCATGGATCCATGGTTTTCTCAATGACATTTCATTGCATTCCAGTAGCAGAGTTTGTGAAAATCTGATTTGTACTACGTAGTATCTCCTGCCCAGTTATGTCATGGCCGAGAGCAGACAGAGTGTCACGCCAAATTCAAAATTAATGATTCAGTACTAGCAGAGTCGAACACCACTGTCGCAACATTGTGTGCCACCTATCTTTCCACCCAGGGCTAGTTAAATGAGGAACTCTGTGGGTTTGTCTGGGCATACAATTTAATGATAAACATGAAAGGAGTCTAGCTTCTATCACGTTACCTGGCCTGTTTAGCAATCAAAGGTTTGCCTGTAACAAACTGTGTGCGAGTGGACAGTTTGTGCTGTCGGATTTTGGAAAGCAATGTTTAGCAACGTTTTCAGGACCGGTATGTGCAACCTGCATGTGTAACTGTGTAGATGAGAGTAGAACCAGTTTGCTTTTTCTTCACTTGTGCCACCCACATCAGTTCATAGAAGGTGCCATGACTAGCAGCATGACTATGCATTTCTGTTGCCAATGTTATGAGTTATTGACCTACCTTCACATCCTGAAAGGTGTGAAATTCTACTGTGAACGGTTAATTGCGCTTTGAATGCCACCCTGTCCGTTTGCCCACCCTGATTTGTATTCTCTTGCTCGTCTTCTAGGAGGCCACCTCTTTGCTGAAGTGCATTGTTGTACAGTAAAACTCCCCTAATTTGGTCACGTTGGAACCAAACACTGCCCGTAACTTAGGCTGCGTTTACACGACAACGTACGGCCAGTTTTCCGTTTTCAGTCCCGCATTTATTTTTCCGTTTTTGTGTGTTTACACGATCAAAGCTGATCCGAGGTAGTCTCGGTTTGTATCGCTTTCGCGCGTCTACACGGGAGCAAAGGATCCGCCAAAGTTCGTCATGTGCCAAGTATTGTCGTGGCAGCACCAATCACACTCAAGGAATAGTTGAAAACAGGCCACACGACAACACTCGTCACATGACGAACATTGTAAAACCATTTCTTTTGATTGTCGGATCCGTGTAAACGGCCGAAACGGAACAAACGTGATGGAAAACGAGGCCAGCAGACCGTTTCGACCGTTTACACACCCAAATTTATCCGGCACAACATTTCCGTTTTCAAATTCTTCCACCTTGGCCAGCGTTTTGGTTTTCTTCCGTTTTGGTGTACAACTTTTACGTTTTGCTCCGCGTACCGTGTAAATGAACCGTGCATCCGAAAGAATTTTGTTGCGTTTTCACCCCCAGCGTTGTCGTGTAAACGCAGCCTAAGAGTTGCCCGTAACTCAGAACATCCACACTTACTGCATGCAAGTAAACAGTGTTTATGCCAATCAATAGAACTTTTTCAAGGTTTGACCAACGGTCACTTTTCGGGATCACATGCGAGAATTTTTGGAATCGCTGGTGAACAGGCGAATCCCAGGTCACGTTCAGTTTGTACGGGAATGGACGCGTGCAGTTGAAAGAAGCACTAGGATGGTGCTCAACTTCATGTCCGACACTTGTGTTGACAGTCAGAGCAGCTGCAAGGAAGCCCTTCCATGGCTTGGGCGAAAAAGAACAAGCTTCAGAATCGCTCCAAGCGCTGGTGACCTGTACACCACAATCTCGGGATGAGCGCCGCTGGCGAGCACGGTGTCGTGTCCTTAAAATAGCTCTATAGTTTTCGGGCCATTTTTCGTTGAAAAGCCAAGTTTTCGTAACTCTAGATGGGTCAGAAAAGGTGCCCAGTGGACGGACATACCCAGATTACGGGTGTCCGGATTAGGGGAGTCTGTACTGTGGAACGAAATCATGAGATGGTACACCTATTACCAGCACCGAAGATAAATGCTGCTTGTTAGTATACTGTGACTGGCAGAAAGAATACATGAAATAAATACACGTCACGTTCTCTTGAACCTTGTGACATGTTTCATCTGTGTGGTTGTGTGTGTGTGTGTGTGTGTATGCGGGTGTGTATGTGTCTATGTACGTTTTGCTGCGGTTTTTCTGTGGGTCATGTCATTGTGTGTTGTGTTCTCAGGTTGCTGTTGATATGGAATTTGGCCGCAACATGGTGGAGATGCGGCGCCGAGTGAATGCCTCTGAGTGTGTCGTCGGTTGGTTCTCCAGCACCTCTCACATCACTGAGCACAGTGCCCTGATTCAGGACTATTATGCCCGCGAGACGCCCACTGGTGTCCAGCCCATCCACCTGACTCTGGATACGTCACTAGAGAATGACCGGCCCAACATGGAGGCGCACGTCTCTCTGCCCATGGGCACCCCGGGCAAGGTGACTGGCGCCATGTTTTGCCAGATTCCCTGCACCGTCACCTGCATGAACGCCGAGCGTGTTGGCCTTCACCATCTGCAGCAGCCGCGCCAGTCCACCGATGTGCAGCACATTGAGTCGGCGTGCAGCAAGATGCAGGACCGGTTGACCTCGATCATCCGCTACGTCGAGGACGTCCTGGAGGGCAAAGAAAAGGGAGATGAGACCACTGGTCGCTTCTTGCTCGACCTGATCAACAGCTTGCCTCGCATGGATGCGCATACCATGCACACCATGTTGAACGGAACCACCCAGGATCTGCTGATGATGATGTACTTGGCCACGCTGGTCGAGACTCCTCTCACACTCATGGAGCGCATCCGTACCGCAAATCTATAACTTCCTCCTTTTTTTCTTATAATTTTTTACCTGTGCAAAAAAACGTGGAAACTGCAAGCCTTGTGTCTGTGGATCTGTGCTGTGTGGGGATGTCACAGCCAGTCAGGTATTTGCGGTATGCGATGAAGTGCATGCCTAGTCCTACACCTTGGCAGTGAGCATGGTGTGCTCCTGGGAGTCGTAGCATGGGATGGCACGAGATCGTAGAAACCGAAACAACTTGCGTTTTGACCTGTGGCCCGCATCTGTGCTTGGATTGGTCGTGCTGCTTTGTTATGGCATGCCGGCTGCAATGAACGTGTGTCTGTTCGTTTGTTGTTGTCACTGGCATCAAGAGTACATAACCCCTGGCCTGGGGTTATGTACTCTTGCTGGCATGCATGGATATCACTAGGAAGTATTTTTGGAATCTTTTTTCCACATGTTTTCGACGTTACAGTGGACTTTGTAGATCTACCAACATCCAGTGTGTCCCTGCAAATATGCACTGATTTGATTTGGCATTTTAGGGCTCCATGGCGCTCGTCAACACTGACGGTGGAACAAGTCGTGTGGTTTTGTGAGCCTTGAATTTCTCAAATCTGCCGGAAGCAATTTCACCTTTTCCCGACACTTCCATTCTGCAACTAAAAAAATTGTACGGCATGCTAGCGCTAGATATATAGCAGGTTTTTCACGTTGCGCTGCAGCGTCTGTATGTAGCTCAAGTTCTCGAGCTGGCACGTGGTCTACTCGCGTAGTCGTACCGATCGTAGGTTCTCGGCGTTGTACAGCAGGAATACGAGTAAAACATCAGAAGACCGTAGATCTGGTAGAACTAGAAAGAGTAGAAGCTCGAAGATCGATTTCGTCTGCGGCACGAAAAGTCTGTGGGTCAACGAAATCTACCCACGCGGCTGATGCGTCCTTGTTGACCTGGTAGTCTGGTTGATAGAGCAGGACCCAAGTAGTTACTTGCAGCTTTTGGGTACGGCCGAGAGGGAATGGCGAAGACACAAGGGGTTTTCTGCGTGCCAGGGAGTGATCACCTATGAGTCAGGACATGGAGAAGCATGCCGCTGCCACCGGCGTTGAGTGTGATGTGAGCAAAGAGTCAGCCGACCGGAGTGAGGTCAGGAAAAAGGGACTTGTATTATCAACTTGTGACGAAGAGGATGAGGTTGACGAGCCCTGCCCTTCGAGCCGAGGACGCCTCCGGTCAATGCGCTCACTCCGACGCAACGACCGCAAAGTACGTGGATGGAGCTTGGATGTAGCATAACATGCCATCGGAGAGAATTTGCTAGCAAGATGACAAGACTCCGTATCCATTGTCGGTTTATGTTTTTTGCGTTGTTTTCTTATGTCATTGGGGTGCTACTGTGTGGAACAGACCAGAGACAGTTCAACTCAAGCGGGCCGGACTGTACCCGTAACAAAAGACGGCAACCTGTGGCGACAAACTGGCATTTTTGAGGTTAGCAATTTTTGAATTCGAAGCACTATGCAAGCAAGTGTTTATTTTACTGGGGTGATGCTTTTTGCAAACTTGGACACATCACTGTATAACAATTCAGTAGCATGCACTCTTAGCCCACTAGCACTGTCAGTTGCTATCACTGCCATACCCAGGGGCGTCGGAAGGAGATTTCAAGAGGGGCGGCCAATTGTGAAGGGGGGGGGGGGGGGGACGGCGGCTAGGCAATTGAACGCAATAGTACAATGAACGCTACAGCAGGAGGGGGGGGGGGGGGGGGGGGGAGATACTGTCAGCCCACCAGTGCACACTAAGACCATCATAGCCAAGAAGAGACCGAATGCATGCCAGTTATGTCTTGACAAGCGCAAGTCTTGACAACTGTATGAAGTTGGAGTCGTGACCGTGACCACGTAATGGTAGTCCCTGGCGTGCGAGAAAGCGCAGCGAGGACAGTATCTTGAGGAAGCAGTGCCGGTTCTCTACTTTCTCGCGCTGGTGTTGCGCTGACTGGCTCTCTCCGATGTCCACTACCGCGCCTGGTAAACTCACAACTTTCAGGACAGCTTCCTTATGACACTTGGAGTTCTGGTGCGCATCGTACTTTATCGTCGCATCTTTCCAATTCGAGAAGCCTATATCGATGAACGCGCCATCTGCATTAGCTGACCACACCAACTTTCCTTCTGCGTGAGCGCGGAAGCAGGTGAAACAAAACACTACATCTCTGGCCTCAGAATAATGCAGCCATGACCAACGATCAAACCACTTGGCCTGGAAAGCACGTTTCACGACGGACTTCTTCTCAAACTCTCTTTTCGGAAAGTCAAAACCTCTTGGTTGATGGGGCGCATCAGGAACTACTTCAGCCTCCGCCATGATGAGCGCACCATAATCAAACTAAATTTATCAAACTAAGTTGGAGCAGAACGGCGTGCTGTCTGTAGTGACTAGTGTTAGGGAAAACCTGCCTGCTGCAGTAACGCCGATTATGTTGCGAATCGTGCATGCTACGTAGATTAGGTTAGATGTGCAACTAGACATGTCCGGTTGTCACCGACCAGCAGCCAGCAGCTAGAGCAGCTAGTGTACGCACTGAACCCAGAGGTTACGCAGGTACTTCAAAGTTCAGCGAAATACGGCATACTGCACCACGTCACCACACGTACAGATGTGCACTGCATGTACTGCATGCATGCATGCTGTATGCACTTACTCCCCCCCCCCCCCCCAAATTGGCCCGGAAAGTGGGGGGCCATGGCCGCCCCGGCCGGTGCGGTTCCGATGCCCCTGCATACCTGCCAACCTTTGCGAACCTGAGATCGGGACAGTGAGTTACCAGTGTACAAACATGACTGTATAACACGCAGCCGAGGCCAGCGCTGCGTGCAGTTTTGATGCCTCTTAGCGCCGTGCGAAACCCTGTCGCACACTGCCTGTACATCATCATGCACATTTTAGTCCATGTCTGCACACATCGTTTTGAAGCAAAGCAAATATTTCATTCGGATACAGCAGTTGACGATTTTCAGTAAGATCAGGGCAAAACAGGATCTTTTTGGTCGTCGGGCAAGACGTTCCCACCTCGATATCAGGATGGTTCTGACTACTGTAATTTCACAAATTTTCGGTGCACTTTCATTTTCGGTACTTTCGGTGTGTCTGTTTCACACCTAAAACTTCAATACACCGAACAAACACTAACACACATAATCCAATAGGGAACTGCTTCTCTGTACCTAAAATTTCTGTTCACCTAACCTGGCCTTTTGCCCTCACACCGAAAATAGTGAGCACCTAAATTTTCTGAAATTAGAGTATATCTGGATGGTTGGCAGCTATGCACTAAGCAGTGAAAGAACCATGCACATTCACTACGGTTAGGGCTATACATGCAGTTGACTGCATACAATTTGTCCAGCATGCTGCAAGATACACACAGGACTTTTAGTGAACTGTTTGTCGTAATAGATACAATACTGAAGCACACTGGGGGGGGGGGGGGGGGGGGGCACTCTAGAAATAGAAGCCCTGTAAATGACCTTGACTTTGCTGCGGTGTTTAGCTTGACTCTTAATTCCTACACAGTATTGTCTAGTCTATTGACCTTGTCCTCCATCGATTTTAGACATGCGTCTGAAAGTACAGTACAACTTCAGTACACTGACTGTTGTGGACTGATTGAAATCCGGTGGAAGGGCCGGGGCTGGCGCCCTTACTGCCTTAGCGCATACAAACTGCGAAAATGAACCAACAGTGCTCACGGCTGCAAGGCCAGCACCAAGTGGCCGCTTGACTTCTCAACAAATTTCAATGTCCACAACAGCACCTCCAGTAGACGTAAAACCAGTATTAAAATAACTGACATACTCAATATCTGAGGTAAAGCAGGGTTCTAGCCAAATGGGGGGGGGGGGGGGTAGGGGGGCGCAGCGCCCCCCTACTCCGTTTGCGCGCCCCCCTACTCCGTTTGCGCCCCCCCCCCCCCTGTGAAAAAGTGCCGCCCCCTACTCATTTTCCGATTTTTGTGTTTTTTCACGCCATTCAACGAAAATACAGTCGATAGTCACTACTACAAGTAGAGGGTTCATAAAGGCACATTTGTGAGGGGTGAAGTCGGGGTTCACTCTGTATGTTACATTTTGCATGGCAAGACAATTTTGGACAATGGAAAAAATGGGTCATCGGGTAACTTTTTCCCCTGCCCGCCCCCCTACTATATTGACCTGGCTAGAACCCTGGGTAAAGCAAAGTGAAGAAAAGTATCTTTGATTTGCAAGTGTTTCCGCGGTTATAAATTGCACCGCCATGGTCAGGTCTGTTATAGAGTTTCAGTGTGTCCACTTCTAAAGTTGAGTAATACGTCTCAGTCTGTGTCCGATAGTTATGCATGTTTTGCAAGGTGCGCTATTTGTAAGTGTTGCTGTAGTTGAGCAGTGATGGTAAACCATCCACCAGGTTTAACACTTGCAAAGAGCACTCCTTCCCTCATCACCACGATACGTTCTGGCCTGGCGCCTAGTTGATGCACGACTGATGATATTTGCGTAGCTGGCTGGTACGTCAGTGAACGCTTGGTGTGTAGATGACGACACATGATTCACAGACTCCAAACGTGCCATCATCAATGGTGGTAAATCACCCACCTGGTGTACTGGTGGTAAATACATGCTTGCCCACACTACTCTCTCTAAGCTGCCAAGTTCTTGCACCTGACAACAAACCTAAATCATAGGTATTGCTATACGTAAGGAGTTGGCTTGTTTGTTAGTTTCATAGCACACGCCTGGCATCATCTTGTGTACGGTATCTCTGTCCCTGTGTTGCAGAAATGGAGGAAGGTTCATGTCATTCTGATGGGTACTCGGCTGTTGATCGGTACTAGCGCCAAGGTAGGTTGTTACTTCTACGAAGTATGTTTTTGCAGTTGCCTGCTGTCCATTCATGTATTGTATGCGCCATGTTGATATGTTTGCGTGGTGGGTTCAGTTACGGGGTGCATGTGAGGTGCGCCTCCTTGGAAAAATTATCAGCCCTGGTGCCATTATACAGTGATGGCCAAATCCATGGTCATTGTCACATACCGTAAAGTCTTGTATAAAAGCCGCGGCTTCTATGACTTTCTTGGTGAAATTTTGCAGGCTTCTATATGAGACAGGCTTCTATACAAGACAGGTATTTCTATGTATGTCAACGCTAAAACCAGGCTTATGTGTGATTTGATGGGCCCGAAATTGTGGCTTCTATTCGAGGGCGGCTTCTATTCAAGTGCGGCTTTTGTACAGGACTTTACGGTAGATGATCAGATTTGACTGCACGTATACCACCATAACACGTTGTGCAGCGGGTTTCAATATAGAGTGGAGCTCACTTAGTACATACTCTGATGAGACATACTCTTGTTTAGTACGGACATAGTTCAGAGCACGGGTGTATTGATCTATACTGAAGTATGTTGCGATAAGAAGAACCCCGGATACTAAGTACACATTTGCACAAATATGAGAGTACTAAGTACCTGAGATCGAGGGTACCTGTGGAGCGATAAAATAAGTACACTTTCCTGTCGGCATGGGGTATGTTTTATCACAGTTCTGCTGTAGTGTTTCAAAAGCATATACAGTGGTCTGTGTTGCTGGTACTTCTGAGTTACAGACATTCTTCGGCAGCAGATAGCTGTGCGTACTGGATTTGCTCCTAATTTTACCTTTGTATAATCTGCTGTTGTCATCAACTAAGCAATACAGTGCACATATGTGTAGAACTTCAAAAGTATGTGCAGTTGCTTGCCGGTTTTGACAGCCAGAATTCTTTAACATCTCACATCCCTAACCAACACAAATCTGGAGATCGTTATTATATTACTTAAAATGGCGCTAACGTACCGTATGTGGTCTAGCAGTATGTGGTGCACAATCAATCAGGCACTCTAAAACGCACTGCCCTGTTCTGACTGGTTTGAAATTGTGCACAGAGCGATGTCCGCGAGGAGTTCAACGTGCTGGAGTGTAGCATTGCAGAGAGAAGCCTGACCAACACACGCCACTGCTTCACGGTAGGAGTGCTATGCTAGCTCCACTGTTCTTGCCTGCCTCACTGCTTGCTTGCCTGCCTGCCTGGAAGCACTTGAGTAGCATGCCCTTTTGGAATTGTCCAGCCATGGCATCGTGACTGCTTAGCAGCTGTATTTTTTACCCCGCTGGTGCCAGTACGGCTGCTTGCCAGTATCCACCGTCCGGCTTGGTAATTATCATTGTAATAATAATAGATCAGCTTGCGCACTGGACTGCAATACCAGCCTTTCCGCTTCTACTCTTGTGAGCTCTGCTACATGTGATGGTGCTTCACTTTTCTACCACACCTCACGGCAAGTGTACTCAGTTTCTTTGTGGGTCGTCTTTTAGTAGTACTATTTCAGCCTGAAGGTGGGCCATGCCCGAAAGTTTAGTGAATCTAGAATAGTAGTAGAGAATCGGTTTGCAGCAAGGCGTCCACGTTTAAGTGTTTAGATCAAGTGAAGTAACGTGCGAAGGTTGCACTAGAGTTTGCGAACCCTTAGAAAGCTTACGCTACAGTATCGTTACTGATTGGCAATGAAATTTTTTTTGGTTGCTCCAGCCATTGGAATGTACGCTTCTTCTTGCTGACTTGATACTTCCTGCCTTACATGTAGCATATTGCTGCATATCCTGGCCCGGCTTGACCTGGCCTGGCGTACACAATTATCCCTGTGCGACTAAGTATTGTCTTCATCTGCCCTCTCATCTGCACTGATCTTGCACAGGTGCTGAGTCAAACCGTACAGGTTGTGTTTTGCGCAGAAACGCGCAAGCTGATGGAAGAATGGATGACGGCCATACGCAATGCCGCCAAGGTATGTTGTGTTCAGCACAGAATCACAGATCATGCTACCTGGTGATGAAAGATCACCCGAGGCATCGGTTCCTCCAAACCTTGTTTGCATTATGCGTGTTTGCAGGACGAAGCTGTGGAGCAATGGGCAGATCAAGCCAGGAATGATCACTACTGGTTCTTCCGGCAGTTTCGTATCCAGGCGTATTGCAACATATGCCGTGAGCAGTTTGGTATCAAGACAGCTGTTCTTGAGTGTGAAGGTATGTTATAATCGACTTTGCAGTGCGGCTACACTAGTACTCTCAGCTATCTGAGCAGCTTTCTCTATTCGCTCAATTGTTCCTTTGCCTGTGTTGCGACAGTTCGATCATGTCGTTGTTTTGAGGTGTCGTGTGACATTACAAGCACCCTGTTTGCTACTCAGCGCACCTGCTGTATACGTTGTGATGTCGCTGGAGCATAGTTATTGATGATGTCATTCGGGGAATTTCTATTTATGTTCTGTATCAAGTTATCGTGCATGGCATGCATGATGTGTAAGCAATAGAGCCAACTTGTAGAGACTTTCCTGTATGTACATTCCGACTTCAAGTCACTTGGTTCATGCGATCATTCAGATGCAGAAAGTTGATTAACTAGGTCTCACATGAACCGCAATGCACTTGTATGTATTTTGGTTCGTACTGATGCGGTGTTGATTTGCATGTGAATCCCTGCTCCTGCTGTCTGAATGCGGTTCTCTCGTTCTCCTCCTCCAGTGTGCAAGATGAAAGTGCACCGGCGCTGTGCGTCGTGTGTCGTGCAGGATTGCAAGTGGCACTCGTCCAATCGCATGCCGACGTCGTCGCAGCAGGCGCCCGGTACTTCCTTGGCACCGGTACGTGCAGCCTGCTAACAAAGGAGCCTCTAAGGTTGCGTTTGTTCGGTGTCATTCCTACACCATTCCAAAGCCATTCCACCGTGCTTTGGTTCCGGTGCGTTTGTTTGATGCACGAGGCAGCATTTGCGTGGTGTAATTCCGATTCCGGACGCAGAATGAATGGGGCAGAATCGATTCCGGCGATATACCTGTAGTCTTTGCAAGGCTGCAAAAACAACTCGTAGATCTACCTGTACAGTACTCGAAAACAAAAATATTCAACCGTCGTTTCCGAGCAAAACTTTTGCCAGATTTCCGAGTGCATGCTCGCGTTTGTTTGCTACGCTCATTCCGATTCCGCGATGGGTACCGACTGCATTCCATGCCCATTCTGGAACGACCGAACAAATGCAGCCTAGATCCGAAAGGAGGGGGGGGGGGGCTTATGTCATTTTCATGCATTTTGTGTTATTTGCACCATGACATTGCTGTAGTCCAGCAGATCGCTGTGCAGAAAACCTCTGTAAAAACTTCATCTAAATACAGTTATGGGTGCTGGAATAAGTGCATTTTGCATCACTTTACAGAAAACTCAACTTCCAAAATGCACTTGTCTCAACATTGTGGAAATCTACATGAGCCCCTTTTCAGATCTGGACGCTCAAATTGTATTGCAACAACCTGGAGTAATGTGTGTACTGTCATCCTACGCGCATAGTTCACTACATTCTGTCTTTAGAGGGTTGTTTCACATCTTTGTCACGTGACTAAATTTGTGTAGAAAGCGATCAAAGCATGTGGACTGTGAAGCCAACGTGGCCGACATCATGTGATCCATAGACACCAGGGCTGGCTGGAGTTGGAAACAACGTGGACCAACATGGCTGTCCCGTATGGTCATGTGATAGATGTGAAACAGCACTCTATGCCATGCATATCTTGGACCATTCTTTATTCAGCTACTAGTACTTGAACTACAATGAGCACACAGCAATTTCGCAACCAAGTTCTTTTCCGCCGTTACTCAGAGTTTCGTGTGAAGCACTCACCAGACAGCATGACCAAGACTAGCATTCACTAGAATATATATGGTGGGTCTTGAGAAAAGAGGGCTGAGGTGATGGAGGTACAACATTACAATAGCGCGAGGAATTTGAACTTGATGTATTCTGATTGCTTTGCCCATCGAACGCCTTGTTTAGATGTCATGTCTGCTTGCGTTTTATCAAACTGTTTTCAACGGAAACAGGCCAATACGCTCTCTTTCACCCCTAAGCCCGCTATGTGCCATCAGTGGCTGGAGGGGAACTTGCGACCAGGCAGCACCTGCGCCTTCTGCAACAAAAGCTGCGGAAGTGCAAAGCGCCTGCAGGACTGGCGCTGTATCTGGTGCAACATCACTGTAAGTCTCTGCTCTGGAGTATAATGTTGTGTACGTGAGAAAAGAAAGCTGTCCAGTGCGCGACATCACTGGAAGTCTCTGCTCTTGAGTGTAATGGTGTGTACGTGAGAAAAGAAAGCTGTCCAGTGCGCGACATCACTGGAAGTCTCTGCTCTTGAGTGTAATGGTGTGTACGTGAGAAAAGAAAGCTGTCCAGTGCAACATCACTGGATGTCTCTGCTCTTGAGTGTAATGGTGTGTACGTGAGAAAAGAAAGCTGTCTGTAGTGCAACCCACAGAGCATTCTTACCGCATTGCACACTGCGTTGTGCTAGGAACCAGGATTGCATTTCGCCTGTCATCGCTGTACATGTACAATGAGTGCACAGTGCAGTTCTTCCACAGGTACATAGTTCTTCCATAGGCACACCGTTCTTCCACAGGCACACAGTTCTTCCATAGGTACATAGTTCTTCCACAGGTACATAGTTCTTCCCATGAGCACGTAACTATTCTAGAAGTATGCTGGTGCATGTGATCTTGAGTGTGACCGTGTGTCGTTGTTCTTGCGCATGCTGGTGTGTGTGTGTGTGTGTATGCATGTTGGTGTGTGTGCATGCTGGTGTTTGTTTGCATTTGCAAGGTCCACGACGAATGTCAGAGCAAGGTCTCCGACCGATGTTCATTAGGTATCCATCATCGCATCATTCTGCCACCACAGCACGTCGTCATTGCTAACCAGGAGTGCACAATCAACGTGAGTATGGCACAGTTACATGTACCACCATGTAGTCTTTCTTCGAGAGACAAACGGTTGGATGAACGGACGGACGGACGGACAGACAGACAGACAGACAGACACAACTGCTTAATCCTAATCACACAGCAGGAGCAATGCTCTGTAGGAGACTGGTGTAATCGACGTTTGGACAATTTTGAAACGTTCCTTTTATCCGCGACCCTCCTGTCCACTATTCCTTCTATTACCTTTTTGGCTCTGTTGGCATGCTCACGTGGGGCTGTTGGTTAGCTGTCTTCAGGGCTAGTCGTGTGACATGCTATAAATTAGTGGTGTGCACGGGTAGTCGGGTACCCGTGCTACCCGTGAGGACCTCGGGTAGTCGGGTACCGAATAGTACCCGAAAACCCGAGGTCGCAGATGACATCATGTACAGTGCACGTGTACAAAATTTAATAATTCACGCATGTCTACCCAATGCGCAAGGGAAGGAAGGGGCCGGTGTGCATTGTGGTCTTACCAATACCATGGAAACATTACCCGATCGGGTACCCGTGCTACCCGTGGAAAACTACCCGGACCCGATACCCGAAGAAAATGCTACCCGACACAGCCCTACTATAAATCGATTCAATATAATCTCATACTTGGCAACTCACATTTGTATGTGCTCGTAAGTTGAGCAACTGAACAGCACAGGCATTCTTGATTTGGCCCAGATAATTTCAATCGATATTGCGATATGTTTGAAGATCATTGTTCGCTTTGTGTTGCCCAATGATGGTGATTCTTTCCAGGTTGATGAAATCAGTCCGCAGTCATGCCCCATGCTGGCGTTTGTGAACTCGAAGAGCGGCAACAACCGCGGCGTGCGCTTCATGCGCCGCCTGCGTCAGCTGCTCAACCCGATCCAGGTGTTTGACCTGGCCAGTGGTGGCCCGACGGCTGGTCTGGTGCTCTTCAGGCACGTCATGAACTTCCGCGTGCTTATCTGTGGTGGAGATGGCACCGTTGGCTGGGTCCTGTCCGCTATGGATAGGGTTGGCATTCGTGGACAGGTTAGTGAGATGGTAGTGTTGGCTGGGTCCTGTCCACTGTGGACAGGGTTGGCATTCATGGACGGGTTAGTGATATCTTTGCATCTTCTCACCATGCTAAAGCAGGGCGAATTTATCTATCCAAATAGTGTCCAAGCCCGTCAACTACATTGTATCAGCCTGTAGTCGAGATGTGTTCTGATCTTCTGCAAGACCTTTGTTGCGCGTGGGCATGTACCAGTGCACCGCAGACATAAATGCTTGTTCTGCACAGCATTTCATCGTTTTCTCAGCTGTACTTTAGTACTGTACTGTAGGTCAACAAATATTCGGCGCATGTTTGCTTTCGTCTATTTTCGGCCTGGACATGTTTGGCCGAAAATGTGTTGCAGCCGAAATTTTGTTTTGCAAGGTTCAGTGTGGAAGTGTATACAGGCGGCAGCAGTACAGGCCGAACATTTGATGTAGCCGAAATTTTGTTTTAGCCCTGGGAGGCCGGAATTTGAATGGGCCGAAAATTTGCCGACTTACAGTAAGCCTATGCCTGTGTGTGCTCTGGTGCATCATTGTGTGTTTATACCTCAGTGCCACTTTGGAATCTTACCCCTTGGGACTGGCAACGACCTTGCTCGCGTGCTTGGCTGGGGATCGTCCATCGCCGACGACCATCTTCTCTCGTCACTGCTCACTCAGATGGAGCAGAGTCGTCTGCGCAAGCTGGACAGGTACTGTACAAGAAGTGTGTAGGAGTATGGGGGGGGGGGGGGTCTGGGTCTCCTTGGTCTGTCCATGTACTGTGTGACGGTGGCGAATGTCCACTACACATCTAAGGTGCATGGTGTACCAGAAGGCTCTGCCGGTGTCGTACGCCTAGCGGGACCTCGCGGCAGATGGCGGTCACAGCCATGTGATAAGCCTGCCATTGCACGATGCGCACAACCTATAGATGATGTGCTTGCAGTCAACCTTGCAAATCACGATCCTTAATCGGCCATGAGAAAAGTATTGTGATTGGAGAGTTGTCGTTTTCACGAGGTTAAAAGTATTCAGTCTAATGGTTACTTAGTGTTGTTATTCGCGAGTTGTTATATCCGAGAATGTTATCTGCAAGGTTGACTGTACAAGTACTCTTCTGGTTGATCCCTTCATGCTTATCAACCTGCATGTAGTTCTGAATCTGTTTCGTCGTCTTCGGGTTTATGTGAAGTCAGTGCCGGCACTGATTCCAAGAGACGCTTGCAGCCCAGTCCCTGGTGGCCATGCGTTTGTATAGTGCTGGCAACTGAAATCCAACCCCAGCTCTGTGCGCTCACATTGCGAAGACCCAGCACGCGCTTGTGACGCTACGAAATAGAGACCGCTGGAATTGGTGCTTGTGACACTAGGAAATAGAGACGGCTGGAATTGGTGCTTGCGACACTAGGAAATAGAGACGGCTGGAATTGGTGCTTGTGACACTAGGAAATAGAGACGGCTGGAATTGGTGCTTGTGACACTAGGAAATAGAGACGGCTGGAATTGGTGCTGCGCTCGAGCACGCAAATCAGGGGTTGGATTTCAGTTGCCACCAATGTACTTGTGAAGAATTCTTCAGATTTGACTCGACTTTGCTTGCATTTGAATACTGTGTTCCCATCCGCAATAATTTAAACCCGTTTTATTCGTGTCCCGGTGTGTTTCTTGCAGGTGGAGCATTTGCGAAGTGGACAGCAAAACGCAAAACCGCAAATCAATTGTGAGTGGATGTGTCCGCCATTGATGGAAATCGAGCATAGTGTGTTTGTGTACAATGTAGATAGTAGGCGGTGGGGGCTTGGGGAGACGGATGCGTGGGCATGTGTGTAGGGTGCGTGGGCGTTAGGGAGGTGAGGCGATATTCGCCCTTGGTATGCACCAAAGTTCTTTCCATATACGTATCTGGTTTTCAACCTCATTCTTTTCTCTTTGCCTCTTTCTCAGCGTCAGTTTGCCGGGTCGGACAACCCAAGTTTTGTTGATCCCCTGTTTGAGGTGAGTGTCAATTGCAGCTTTGAATATTTGGCGAATGCTTTTTTATTTTTTTACATTTGACCCCTGTTATTATGAGGACTAATGCCCGATAGAATTCGTTCTAAATAGTCGATGTTCTTTATTGCTGAAATCCACTCACATTATAGAAGTAAAGCACCATACATCACACCCATGACTGCATCACTGCCCGTGTAGGCATCACTGCACTCAACAAAGGAAATGTTCCCTGCAAGGTTGGTTCACATATTGCCAGTAGGCCCAGTACCCACCGAGGCTGGGGGGTGCCTTTGGCAGCTTCTGACGATGGATTGCCGTTCTGTAAGCCAGTACAGTGCATACCAAATCATATGGTAATTCGGTAGCGTCCGCGGCTGGAATAGTTGGTCAATGTTCAACTTTAGCGGCCTGCCCTAGAACCGATCCCATCCACTTCTGAGCTAAAGTGACATGTGAAGAGTGCATAGCAGTGGTGACCATTGACCGGACCCTGACTTTGTCAACATTTCAAGCCTAGTAGAAGCCCTACATTTACTAAATTGTGACAAAAAAAGTTAGTCGATGACGATCTTCCTTCGAGTTGTATCAAGGCGACAATGTCCGTTGGCATATCAGCAAGTCCTTCTTGGATGCTTTCCGTTATTGTTTTGATACTTATGGTACAAATTCAAGTGAAATGAGCACAAGAGAGGAAGGATAAGAAGAACTCCGGATAAGACAAGCAAGCGTGCTCAGTCCCTTGAAGCTTGTCTTGAAAAGAGATTTGACCGTGGTATGATTATGCCATTGATACGCCCCACCCGGCCATAGGCTATCATTCTGTTCTTTGCATGGGCGGCCACAGTGGCATCATGCTATTCACCATCCTGTTGCTGCTTTGTGTTGGTTGTGTGCTATCCGCCACAGTCCCATGTCGACGCCGTACTGGAGAGCTACTTCTCTGTGAAGCTGATGCTGCAGCGCCTCCAGAAGATGGTGTGCAACAAGGAAGACCTGGAGCTCTACTATCGGTTAGTGCATGGTCAAAGGCAGCATGGAAAACTTCTGAATATGCTCACTTAGTTGATGGATCAAGGATAGTGCATGTAATGGATTTTTAAATTTTTGGTGATTATTTCTGATTGGAGTGCACTTCAAAGAAGAAGTAGATGGCTGCACCATTACTCACACGCTTCTTTATCACATGCACATTGATCAGTGATCTGATGGCTGCTGATGGCAATACAGCCTTGACGTTGGCTCAGTATCGACAGGATGTGCCTATTCTTTCCCCCGTTTGTCGTACAGGGACTTGTCCAGGGCGGTGAGCAATTTCATCGAGAACATTTATGTCATGTCTGATTTGACTGACATGAAGGCCGTGCTCAACCTGAAGGTGAGGAGAGACATTATTCTTTCGCTGCTTGCTATTGTTTCTGACATTACTTGGGGAGTGACGGTGGTTGTGCAATTAGTTGATGGAGCCCAGCAACTACATTCATCTGTTTTAATAGTACATGTACATGTATTATGTGCTTAGATGTTGGGGGGGGGGGGGGACAGCACTGTGGGGTCCATTGAAGCCTGTACTAAGCCGCCTGATTCCAGGCTCCAGATAGTTGACACGTCTGTATTCCAGCGCACAAAACCAAGTGGTGTTAGAGGTGTTGCCGGTGTCTCCTTTGCCTTCATGCATCTTCATCTCCTTTGCCTTTGTGTACGAGTATAGTCTCGTTGGAAGGCATCACAAACCTCAGATTGTATGTCTAGCGTATGTGTAGCAGTATAATCATCAGCTTCTTGTCTCTGTCTTGTGTTCCAGTGCCGGTTGTTGCGACTAAACCTACAGCAGCTGACGCTGGGCCTCACCGAAGCCGGTGTTCTCAAATCGGACATCTCCAACATCAGCGCCTTCCGTGGTCCAACGCAGACGCCATCCCTGGCCACTAGCCAGGAATCGGTGGGTGCCTGCAGGAATGTGGACAGTCTAGTCAGCGAGAACAGTGACAGCTCGGTCAGCAGGAATGCCGACAGTGTTCTCAGCCGGAATGTAGACAGCGGTGTCAGCGACCAAGACGACTCGTTGGTGGCGTCGGCCAGCAATGCTGGTGTGTTGGCGGATGGCGACGACGACTTTCCCATTCCCATACCGGATTTCTCGGAGGTGCACAAGCGCTCCGTGGCACGCCAGTGCCGGTCCGTGCTGTCACGATCCTCTAGTCTGCAGAGCCACGCGTCCACGATCACGCCCTGCGTGTCGCCCAAGTCCGGCTCCATCGGCTATCGCAGCATGGGCGGTTGCAGCGCCAAGTCGGGTGACACGGTCACGTGCGGTGGCAAGGCACCCGTCACGTCCACGGCCAGCTTTTCGTCGGACATGGCCGACAGCTCCACGACCACGTCGTCGTCCTCGCTCACCAGGAAACACTCCTGGGTGAAATCAGGCAGCCATCGCGTCAAGTCCAGCAGCCATCGCGTCAAGCGCATCTTACGCCGCAAAACCGTGACTTCGCTGCACCAGGAGGATGGGGAGATGAAGAGGGAAATTGCTGCAATCGACACGAAGGACACGGGCCATGATACATCACCCCGTTCTCCCCAGGGACCAGTGCGGAGTTCGTCCGACGTGATGATATCGGAGCGACAGATCAAGAGATGTCGATCGTCCTCCATTGCATGTGGTGAATCATTAGCGAAGCATCAGCACTTTGCCACGCCGAAAGTACTGGTAAGTTTACATCTTTCTCTTCCTTTCTCCCCTGGCAATTATGGAAACCAGAATACGTATTTCCTCGAGAACTGTGCTTGAATACAGGACTGAGATAGGGCAGTTTAAAATGATGTGCCCTGCTTCCTCAGTAGACTGTGCAGTAGTGGCACCAATATCAGCAGGTCTTCTCTGTCCATGTCATCAAGAATGCATAACCCCTGCGAAATGCTACACGTTGTTTAGAGTGTCATATTCTGCGTGCGTGTTTATTTATTCATTTATTCAACATCTCCTGGCTTGTTGTAAGACTGCCAATATTTATGAGAAGTCGGGTGGTAGCCATCCACGGCGAACTAAATAATAAGGAGAGAAACAAAAGAGAGTACTGCAAGGAGAGGCATGACGAAAATGGTGAGATTATTTAAGACGAAGAAACAGGGAGGTATTGGCATGGGGTAATGAGAAGGAATTACGTGTTGATCTGGTGGACACAAACCAGTTATACTTAGCAAGGTGTTTGGGAACCAGATCTAATATGATCATGTGTACAAGGGTGCAAAGATGTTGCTGGTGTCGCTCTAAAAGGGGAGATACTGAAGCTAAACTGTAGAGACGTTGGGAGGAGAATGTTTGATCTTTGCGAAACAGGATTTTCAGAAGCAGACGCTGGTGTATTTCCGGAGTTTGAACAGGAGCCTGAGACAGACTGCACCACGCTGTATCATAATAATCAAATATAGGTAGAATATATGACGTAAAGAACAATTTTCGGCAATGGTCCTATAAATGTTGGCGGTGATTTTGCAGCATGCCAAGGGAGGAACTAGCTCGCTTGCATACTGACTGGACCTGTGGGGACCAGGACATATGGCTGTCGATTATAACACCAAGGTGTTGATGAACAATATTGATGTTAGCATTGGCTCCTGGAAAGTGCACCCGGCTGAATGGGCGGCGATGGGCTGATGAACATGGCTTCGGTCTTCGCGGTGTTAGGCCTTAGCTTCCATCCATGTTATCGTGGAGTTGATGCTGGTCTGCATGGAGGTAACGATCGAGGTTGGACGGCGAGCTGTCAGAGCACAACAGTGCAGTGACGTCAGCAAAAAGGCTGACGTCTGGTACTAGAGAGGGCAGATCATTTACATCAGTTAGAAAAAGGAGTGGACCCAGTATGGACCCCTGTGGAACACCAGGCACTACAGGTAAGGAATCGGACAAGGAAGCAGAGACACGGACAGTTTGATGATGGGACGACAAATATGACGACAGACACTGCAGAGCTGTACCACGTACTAGAAAAAAATGGACTCGAGCTTAGCAAGTAGGCCTCGATGCCAGACTGTGTCGAACGCTTTTGATAGATTAAAAAAGAAGAGACCTACATGCTTCTTCAGGTTACAATGTCCGTGAATATCCTGGATTATGCGTGTCAATTGCAAAGTAGTTGAATCGCCACGACAAAAGCCGGATTGTGCAGAGGAGAGGGCAGGGGCGACATGGTGGTAAAGAGATTCATAGAAAATGCGTTCACAGACCTTGGATATAGCAGGTAGGACAGAGATGGGCCTGTAATTAACAGCTTGGGAGCGTTGTCCTTTCTTAAATATCGGGACATCAATAGCAGATTTCCACGCAGATGGGAAGACTCCTGCACACAGGACATGTTGAAGAGCAAGCACAGGGGATAAGACAAGGAAGGCACCAGCAGCTTAAGGACTATATTCGGTATACCGTCTTTTCCAGGAGACATGCAGCTCTGTCTACGCGTACGGTACTCGTATGCGGGGGGAGAGGAGCAAGAGTGATTGATTTGTGGTGTACGAAGCTCTATGATTTCCCGCTTCAAATCCTGGAGCTCGAGCTTCATGGACAATAAATCATCGTTTCTGTTTTGCTTCAAGGAGATAAGCTCCTTTGTCAAGCATGATATAGCTTCAACCAGGCCAGTAACAGTAGTTTTTAGTAACTTTCTACGGACATACCGGTTTCGGCGCGGGCTTGCGGCAGAACTCCCACGCCTTTGCTTCTCAGTTGCACGACAAGTTCCGGCCGGGAGGGACTGGAGGGCTGGTCCAGGGACACTCGCTCAGCAATCTTGATCCGGTCGGTGAATCCAATTAGCGCTAGGTCCATGCACTCATTAAGTGCCATAACGGGGGGTCTATAAGAAGAACGGGCGGGGTTGAACCTGAAATTTGCTGCTGCGAGGCTAATCCCCGGAGCATGAAAATCAACAACTAACCCCTACCGTACTTATCATCGACTTCTATTTATGTCTGTGTCTCTCCTTTTTATAAAAAATAAAAAAGACCAAGGAACTGCAAGTTACGCTATATGTCCACTAACACCACCAGTTACTAAACAATCAGCTCATGCGATAACATTGCACATTGCATTCCTTGGTCCTTTTTATTTATTTTATAAATTAATCCTTGGCTCTCCATCCGAGTCCATTCTCTCCTTTTTCTTTTACATTCTTTACCTATTCTTGTATTCTCTGTAATCTGTTCTTGTGTACAGCAAAGTGAGGAGTTTGTGTTCCAAATGAACAAGCTGACCTCAGCACTCGACGCGATATTCGCTATCATTGATCCGGCGCACGAAGACGTAGAGAAACGTTCCAGCGTTGACGTCTCTAGCTTTGTGGATCCGGACGTGCGGTCGCGGGCGCTCATGTACTGCTCGTCTCGGCGCGTCTCGGCTCTTCTGGCCGATTCGGTCGCCGAGTCGCAGCAGGGCGGTCACACAGCCGCGGCCTCGGTCACCAGCGCGCCTAGCAGCACCAACATCCGGGACGTAACCAACGGCAACCTGCTGCGCGGCCAGCGTCGCTGCTCCGAGAACGATGCCTACATGTTCACCGGCCTGACCCCGCTCAAAAGCATGGAGCACATGTCCGCGTCGTCGCTCATTCAGCTTGCCAAGTCTCCGGACCTGGAACGCCACCGGGAACTCTCCAAGAACCGAAGGTGAGTGTTGCTGCAGGCGCTCAGTAGTACTGTGCGCTAAAGTACTATTCCCATTCCTCTCGCTGTGTCATTTAGCATGGTTTTGTCCCACTCGTTTACCTAGATGTAAAATAGTACTTTATTCATGCAATGTAAAACGGTGGAGACCATGTGCAATAAAACGATGAAAGTAGGAAGAAATAGTGTAGAGAAAAATTAGGATGAGTGTTGTACGAAAACTTGTCTGAATCCTAATTTTTCTCTGCACTATTTCTTCCTGCTTTCATCGTTTTATTGCACATTGTTTCCACCGTTTTGAATTGCATGAATAAAGTAAACACAAATGTTGAATCAGCTTGTCTTATAGATTGCGGTTATCAAATTATTGTCTCCTCGCCGTTTGCTAAAATAGTACCGTAAAACAGAATGCCTTTTAGGTGATATCTAAAATTTGGGTGCCTGGTTTCTCTACCGAAATCACCGAAAATACCGTGTTTTACAGTATTCCAAAGTTAGTGTGGCATATAGTCCTGTTGTCAAGTTGACTACACCACAGCCTCTCCTAAGCATACGATTACTCACTGTCAACATGTGCAGCTGTGCAACTCGAGCAAGTCTCTCGCTCGGGGGTGCTTAACTGGCTGTATATCTCTTCTCTGTACATCTTCGCCTACAGCGCCAGCGAGTGGGAGCTACACTTGATCACGTCAAAGAACCGGCAGGGTCAGCCAGCGCAGGGCATGCAAACGTTCCGCCAGCACCAATTTGTGCAGCGCCCCAAGCCACTGAATTCCTCCACGAGCAGTTCTAGCGAGAACTCGCTGGTCAATTCATCCGTGGCCAGCCTCGGCACGAGCAACAAGAGCGTTCAGATCTCGTTGCAGAAGCCGTACACGTCGAGCCAGTCCATCGAAAGCCAGGATGATCGGCAGAGCTCCGGGCAGGCTAGCAGCGCGTCTGGCTGGGCACCTAGCACCCCGACTTCACTGGGACATGCCCCGGCCAGCTTCCAATCGCTCTGCGCAACTGGTATGTCTTTGTCGAAAGGAGAATTCCGTGGAGGGAGAGGGGGGGGGGGGGTATGCACAGGTAGAATGGAGGCAAGTGTAACAAGTGAATCCACCCATATCAGTTAGGTTGAGAGCATTGTATGCATGCTCCATGCAGTATTAAGAGTGCTATCCTGCTCTCGCACCCAGTTATCACCTGTGTCCTGGACTTCTGGTATTTGCCATTTTTATTAAAGTGACGTAAAAGTCTGGACTCCGGGTGTCTACCATACCATGGTCTGTCAGAGAGGGGTGATCTAATTCATGCCGAGTGCGGTCTTTAGATAAACAGATTACATGCCTTCAAATGAGATGCTTGAATACTCTTAACCCTTTATGTACGATGTGTGCGTGAATCGATCACATATGATTGATTCATGAATCATGATCGATCCGTAAAACCTTCGTAACTCCATCATTTCTTGTCCGAATGCAACAATCGAAGGGTCTATTTGGTAACTGAAACTCCAAGCTTTCCAATGCAATAATCGCCGAATAGCTATGATGTACGAATCCAGAAATATCGCGCGCCGTATTTTTGTCACGGCAAATTCAAATTTTTATCGATCTCTTCGCCATTTTAGTGGAAAATCCCTTTTCGTGTTGCCTTTGACCAACTCAGCACATGATAGTGACGCAGTTGGCTGAAGTTCGAATCGCCTCGGATTTGAGCGTTCTGCGATAGAGGAGAGTGGAATGGCGTTGATGGGGAAAGTTGCTCGCATATTGGGCTTGGAGACGACTTTGCTGTGTTCCTGCGCCTGATTTGTGGCAGCTAGTTGATGGAGCCTGGTATCCTGGCGTTGCTCTCGCCAGGAGCTTTCCAAAGAGCCCAAGACTGTGGAAATGGAGCGAAGGAGGCCAAAGTTATAGCCTGTTGAAGGTGAAAATTGAATGCTAGGAAAATAATTAACTGTGCCTTTTATTTCATATATTTATATCGTTATCTCTTCGCCGTCTTTTAGAATGTAGCGTTCTATTTTTTGAATCTATTTTTTGTTTTTTTCTCATTGTATACATGTGTTGTACTGTGCAGAAATGCGCAACACATCCGGTCCGTTCAGTGACAGTGGTGTGAGCACAATGTCTGCCGGCACGAACACCGTCAGCATGGCTTCGTCCTCTCATTCACTGCATCGTAACATGGCTCAACAACCGCCGCCAGAGTTCCGGTAAGGCTGACCCGCCGTTGTGTGCAAAACATGCATGTACCGTATATTACGGAGCCAACAGCCAACCCAAGCTCCGTATCCCATTCTATTCTTTTTTATTCTTTTTTATTCTTTTTATTTTTTATTACGGAGTATAAGCCGCACCCAGCTTTTTTTGTCATGGAATACAGACCTGTACCCTGTGTTTCATGGTTCATTTGACCATCGTAGGGTAAAGCCTTTTTTGTGTGAATTACAGCTTATACTCTGGAAAATAGGGTGCATTGGTTTCAGTTGCATGGCCAAGTGTTGTTGGTGTTGGACCTGTTGGTGGAAACCCCTCATCGAAATCAGTGTCACTGGTTGGCTAAAAAAACAGGTCTCTCCAAAGGGTCCTGCCGTGCATGCATGGCATTCATTGACTGCATGCATGAAGTTGTCATTGACAACCTTGCAAATACTATGGAAACTGGGAAGCTGATATGGAACTGTGCCCCCCCCCCTGAGGGTATGTCCGTGAATGTTACCATCCACCAGGATCCACCGAGGTGGGTGTGTTTGTGCGGGTGTGGGTGTAGCCCCTGCTGCATCAGTACATTTTGTATTCTCCGAGAGTCAGTATTCGACAACAATGAATTCAGCATTGCCACTTTAGCGGATTGTGAATGGGGTGACTATCCTGGCCGTCCTTCTTTACAGATTGGAAAGTTGGACCCTGAGGCAGCACTATGGTCGGCGGCTAGAATCCTCCCAGCTTCAGTGTGTGTGCTTCATCCTGAAGTCAATTATGGCTGGTAGATTGATGAGCACATCTCCTTTCTACAAGTCCTCCAGATGTGGGGTGACCTTGAGGAGATGGTGGATCAAGTCAGAGGACGCTGACTTAATTAAGTAGCGGGACCCACATATCCCGATTGCCAGATAGATCGTCTCCCTGGTCAGCTGTTGTGTGTACCCTCATAGCATCCACCGCATGTAACCTGGGATCGTTGGAAAGATGCATTGAAGACTGATTTGGCAGCGGTTGGTGGTCCTCTGCAGCAGCTCAGTGCCATAGTCCAAGATGGGCAGGATTATTCGAGGTGACCTGGACTGCTTGTCAGCACATAACCTAGATAATGATGTGGCCGCAGTGAGGGTTAACCCTGTAAATCTCCTGGTGGCGGAAATTTTCTGAGTTTCCCCATGCTGTTGTCTGATCTTATGTGTCCATGCTCAGGTGCAACTTGGCATGTTCGCAGCCTATTCCTCAGGGTGAGCGTGAGATCAGCGTGATGAACAACTACTTTGGCATTGGGCTGGATGCTAAAGTCTCACTTGACTTTCACAACTTACGCGAGGAACACCCAGAGCGGTGTCGGAATCGTGTCAAGAACCTCATCTGGTACGGGGTGTATGCTGGACGTGAGATGGTGCAGCGAACTACTCGCTCACTTCATAAACGTATCAAACTGGAGGTAGGTGAAATGGAGCGAAGTGGACTGTGTGTGTGTGTATATGTGTGAAGTGGACTGTGTGTGTGTGTGTGTGGGGGGGGGGGGGGGGGTATGTATGTATGTGTGCGTATGTGTAAATGTATTTGGGTGGCTGGGTGGCTGGGTGGTGTTTGACTGTGTGAGTGTGCGCGGGTGTGTACGTGTGTTCAAGCGTTTACATGGGTGGTTATTGCTAGTATTTGGTGGTGTCAGCAGCTATCCACAATGATCTTGTGGAACGAACTTAGTTCATGGGCTTGCTTGAGGCACGGAGTGCTATTAGCCTATTATAATTATGTGAAATAGTGGTTGCGACTTCGGCGATGATTTTTTAGGAATGAGTTTGCTCCCACACTGGAGCTCGCGCTATTCCGCCGACTTGACTTGACACTTGACTGACTCACGACTGCCATCCAGAGCACACGAGAAGTCCATCGAACCTTCGACTCGGCAAACCTGCAAGAAAGCACCACTCCCTGCTCCCTGCTCCAGTGTGGGAGCAAACTCATTCCCAATAATTATGTGAAGTTGCTATTTTCATACTACATAATTGTTAGTACTTTGAAGTAGGTTGAGAGGATATGTTTTGCTTGGTTGTTTTTGCTTTGCTCAGTGCGATGGCGTCACTATTCAACTACCTCGTGTCCAAGGCATTGTGATTCTCAACATTCCCAGCTACATGGCCGGAGCGAACTTCTGGGGGACGGAGAAAGACGTGGATGTAAGTTATGGTGTGAGATGAGTGCCGCATCACTCGAGGGTGATGTCCGTGTGGTAGTGGCTTTGTGGACTGGTGAGGAGGCTTACTTTGCCACATCATTCAGTGATGATGTTTGTATTGTACTGTACTGTACTGTATTGTTTATTTACGGATTCTCCAGAGGTAAATGGATACCTATCATGGGAGTCTCTCCAAACCAATAGAATAATGAAAAATAGAAGTGGTGCTGTGGTGCTGGCAGTGAGTTTGTGTGCTGAATCCTTTACCTGCCTTCTGGACTTTCTGCCCAGTGTCACTTTGTGTATTATTGCCGTAACGTGTCATCCTTGCCATGTATGTGTATGTGTGTGTGCGCTCGCGTTTGTGTACGCACACTTTTGCTTCGCCCTTTGTAGCGCTTCTCTGCACCGTCCTTTGAGGACCAGCTGTTGGAAGTCGTGGCAGTGACTGGATCCATTCAGATGGCCAACTCAAAGGCAAGTCCATGCTCACTAAACTGTTACGACATTTTGTAGTTGCATTCAATGGGGTAGATTCCCATTACATCCACAGTGCCTGTTCTATAGGAGACTTGCATTATGATAGGAAAGACGCTGCTTTTCTGTACGTTTCTATGCCATAACCTGTCCAACACCCGTCCAAATACTGTTGTGGACCTTGAAATCCGTTGTGAGAAGTCAAGCGGCCACGGGGCGCTGGCCGTGCAGCCATGGGCTATTCTGGATAGGTAGACTGCAGTCACTGTGCAGTCTCTCTCTCTCTCTCCCTCTCCCTCTCTCTCTCCCTCCCTCTCTCTCTCTCTTCACTGCATGTACACCTGCATTCACATATTAGTAATTTTATAATCTGGTTCTATTCCACGTCTGAGATGGATAGACGTTGTCAAGAAAGACTTACAATGCATTAATCTGTCGCTTCTGGATGCTGTGCAATCTGCTTCTGATAGAGCTGCTTGGCTCGAAATTGTTAACAGATGCGTTGACCTCATACAATGAGTGAAATGCGAACTGTCATTATTATTATTATTATTATTATTATTCCTGGTTTTGATAGTCAATTTTTCTTCAGACTTTTCCTGTTTGTGTCCTTCCCTCTAACCAGTGAATCATACTAGTAAATTCATAATATTTATTTGGAAAACAGACCACCTTCTTACTGTGTGTTCTTGAGACGACACTGGAAATGCTAGCATCTGGTTTAATAATACTGGAAAGGGGTAAAGAAGCAAGCAGCATTATTGTGAGCAGCAAGTGAGCAGGATACAAACCTCTCTACCACTTTATTCCTGTGCGTGCGCCCAACAGGTTCTCGGCCTGCAGTCGAACGGGAACCGTGTGGCGCAGTGCTCCATGATCCGCATCACCATCACCGGTGAAGAGCCCATACCTGTGCAGGTGGACGGCGAAGCATGGCTGCAGGAGCCCGGTGAACTCGTCATACGCCACAAGAACTGCTTACCGATGCTTTTCCGTGACACAAAGGTAAACACAATAAAACTGCTTTTTTCATCTTCTTTGAATTCTTGTCGGTAGAGTGTGCCCGTGGACGTGCATTTCCTCTGTAGAAGCAGCAGCAGTATTGGTTTTCATCACTGTTGCATGCCCAGGCCACTGGAGCTGGAAATATGTGTGCTTGCCACTCAACAACATTCAGCAGCAACAGACATTCTGTTCTAAGTCATGATGTACTTTGGCAATAGCCTCACTTCATGTGTTGTGTTGTGGAAATATTACACTTGTGCTTTGTTCTGTTCTTGATAGATGATACTGAATTTTTCTAAAGCCTTTTTCTACGATTTATTGGCAGCATTTGCATCATGGTTGAAGCCACCTTGTCTCTCTTTCTCTCTCCCTCTCCCTTTATTACTTTATCTCTCTCTCTTTCTCTCTCTCCGTATCCACTTCCTCTCTTCTCTCTTCTATTTCTCCTCTCTCTCTCTCTCTCTCTCTCTCTCTCTCTCTCACTCACTCACTCACCCCGCAGAGCTTCATGAGTAGCTTACACTCATGGCGGCCATCGTCGTCCAAGGTGTCAAAGACGCGTGCACTCTCCGGAGAGGAGTTGACAATCATGAAGCCGCTGGAAAGCAAGGTGGCCTTCCTGATGTCAATGTAAGTACATGTATTGCGAACACTCCAGCGACGACGACAGCATGCTCCAATATAACCAGAGTACATGAATCTAGGGTGTGCTTGGTTGGTACCACCTAGAACAGGATCCGCCAGAGCGGCATGTTTGGTTGGGACTACTAGTACACCTGTTCTGGGTTGGCCGGAAGATGTTCTGCTTGCTCTGGGAATGCTGTATTGCAGCCTTTTCGGACCAAGACCATTCAATTCAGCGTTCAGAAGGCTACAGGTTCTGGGAGTTTCATGTTCATACGTGCGTTTATAAGGACAAAGTGACACTTTCAGGGAAATTTTCCGCACAAATCCCTATCTAGTAGGGTGCACTCACCTAGTTTCGGGGGAAGTGCGCAAGTTCGATTGAGAACTAGGAATGTAGGACGAAGGGAGTGTCTCAACTTCCTCAGACCAAGACCATTCGACTCGGCGCCCTGCAAACTAGAAGTAGTGAGATTTTGATTGTAGACCCTACTAGAACTTCCCCTTCAACTCCCACTTATGTGCACTACATGCCGACAACAAATGAGTACTCCTGGAATTTTGCCGTGACAGCAACCCAGTTGAGCTGCACACTCTTGCTTTCGTTTACTAGTACTCTAAAAATAATACCACTGGCTTTGCGTATGCATGTACATGTACCTGTGACTTGGACGGGGTGGGATTTGAGTATACATTTTCGGTTCTTTCTTTCTGTGGTTGTTGTTGGTGGTGATGGTGATGGTGGTGGCACTGACGGCGGCTGCGGTGGTGGTGTTGGGTCTGCAGATGCTCACAGCTACCTGGTCCGATCAACAAAGAGGACAAGCAGGCACTGGTGCAGACCAGAGAACACCTCAAGGCGTCCAGCAAGTCCATCTTCAGCTCCTCGGTTAGAACTTGTCAAACATTTGTGATTTTCCTGCACTGCACTGCATGTGTTAGGTGGCCATGCACATGTACTTGTTCACTGTACCTTGTCCTCTTCTCAGTGTACTGCGGGGAATCGTAGAATCCAGGCAGACATTACAGGTGGACTGAGACACAAGACCACAGTGCCTGAAAGTAGAATCTGATGTAGATGTGTTGACTCTCTGGATTTGCGGCTTTGCAGCGGATAATTGCAATGCGCCCCTGTAAAGGCTTCCAGGCCAGATCTGAATGCCATAGCCCAGTGTCTACTGTGTATAATGTCTTCCTAGTACCGATGGTAATTGCTCTGCAGCCTATCTTGTTTTGTTTTCTTAGTCAATAGCAATCAACATCATGACTCTTATGCCATGCCATTGGGTGTGCTGTGTTGTGCTGTGTTGTGTTGCCACTCCTGTTGTACTGTGGATTCAGCTACCCTCGATGGTGGCCGCGGTGGAGTTTCTCAACCGGCTGCGCAGCTACCTGCAGATCGTCATGCGCATTTCGGACAAGGTAGGTTGAGATTGAGGCGTGCCATGTAACGACTAGGATTCTACGCTTAAGCCTGTGTAGTGCGTGGTAATACATGTTGTGGCTCCAATATGCTGTGCATTCACTGCGGAAAGATATGAATGACGTGTCCTTGTCTCTGCTTTTGCTCATGCCGGTTTGTGCATACTCGTTCACATCATAGTACACTGTGCCACAGTCCAACAGTGTTCCTCGCATTGGTGTTGATGTTGGTGTAGGAGCGGAGGCAACAGGTTGCCAAGACAAACATGTACTTGACACATCCCAACCAGGTGCATGGTATACTCATTATTACATGCTGCAATTGCTTTCTTCCCGCTTTCCTTGTTTCGCAGGCTGTCAACTCTTCTTCAAGTGTGCGAATAGCAGCAGTTGTCAATGAGTTGCTAGTGGATGTAGAGATCGTGGAGAAAAGCTTGCAGCCATTCGTGAGTGCACTATGTACATGACGTGTAGCATGGTCCTGCTGAGATTTGCCAATGTGTAAATCATAGGCCCATAGCGCAATGCCACCTTCATGACATCATGCAGCTTCATCCACACAATGCAGAAGATCAAAAGCAACGCTTTCCCTTGTAGTTCGAGACGAGGTTTCGGACGAAAATGACGTTCCGGCACCCACAATAAACATAGGGATCGCACTTTGATTCAAACGAATAAAGAAAACGAGGAATGTTTGTACGAGAGATGGAGAGCTTGAGTGCACGAGTATACCGTAAAGTTCCATGTATACGCCCACTCGAAATAACGCCCATGCCCGAAATAACGCCCATCGAATCGACATCCACGCTCAAAGCCCGTGAGTTCGCCCATGCCCGAAAACCGCCCAGGGTGATGCTGTACCTGTGTATGCGTATGTGTGCAAGATGTTACGCATGCTTATGAAAACGCAAGCGATGCAACATGCGCCTTGTATAGGCCCAGTCCTGAAATAACGTCCCTGCCCAAGTATACGCCCAGTTTTCAAACCCTTGTTCTGTACACACCCGGGGCTTATTTACGGAACTTCACGGTAGAGCGTGGTAATGTAAGCAACATAATGAAGGTGCTATGGACTGGCTCATATTCACAGTTGTATACTCTTGGTGATGGACTGTTGCTGTCACAGACAAAGGAAAGCCGTGCTATAAACCTACTGAAAGCGGCTCGTGGTGGCTTGAAATTATGTTTCCGCAAACCTCACACAGCATTTTATGTAGATTATTGGGCTGTCAGAGAAATTTGTCATCATTTTTACCGTGACCAGTTCGTTTAGCCGCATGCATACGCGTGTGTTCTAACTGTCACTCGACCAGTTCCTATCATGCTGTGTCAAGTTGATGTCTCTGAATGTTGAATCGTATTGCTGCTGCTGTGCGCACGTGTGCGTGTGTGTGTGTGTGTGGGCGTGCATGTTTGGGCCATGTGCAACTTGTGCATACATCAGGAGCGTTCACTTGCCAAGAAAGAAAGCGGCTCTCGCTCCTGTAAGTTGGTGCTGCATTGCCAAGCTGCTGCCTTGTTTGCCTCACATCACTTGTCTCAAGTACGTTTTGTACTACGTATAACTAAGGATAGCGTGCGCGCAATCCGAAAATCTGCCTCTATCATGGCGAGTTGCATACGTGCAATGAGTTTCTGCTAGGAGTGTGTTTTTATTACTCCGCTGCTCGCTAAAAGGGGGCTGGAAACGTACAACTACCACGTGATGTGAGTTTTCGCCATCGGTGAACCCCATAGAAAGGGTATCAGGAGGTGCACACTCTTGGGGTGTTATAATTATACTCTCGCTGATACTTGCATGATGTGAAACTCAGATGTTGAGCCAGTAATAAATAGAGGTAGAAAGGACCATATGGATGCGAGATAAGAGTAACTGTCCACCACTGTAACTAGATACTATAATACAGTTCTGAGACATTCGACGACCTGACACCTAGCTCCCACACATCTCCGAAGCGGTGACTATAACAGCCTTCCAACTCGGCAACTCTGTTAGTCACATGTTCCTTTTCTTTCCCCGGTGTTTTCCTTTCATGCTAGATGAGCTATCCTAAGCTACGGGCAAATCTGAGTTAGGGGCAGCAGCCGGTTCCCAGGCGCCCGGTTCCCAGGCACCCAGTCCCCAGGCACCCGGCCCCCAGGCACCCGGTCCCCAGGCGCCCGGATCAGAGACGTTCGAGTGTATTATTATGTATTCAAGCGTGCTTCCTGCTGTGTACACCGAACTAGCACCCAGGATTGTGAAGCAAACGAGTGACATGTTGTTCTTGTGTGTCCTGCAGATGGTAGCAGCTTGGACGTGTCGGTGACGGAAAGTGACCCCAAGCCTGCACAATCACCACACCAGACTCAGTCCAAGTTCAAGCTGGCGGTCCGTGCAAAGGCGTTTTTCAAGCGTGATGCGCCGACAGTTGACCCCAATGACGCAGACTAGCAATGCTGCTGCTGGCCGTTCTCGCTCAACGACGCCACCTCTCTCAAGTGTCACTTTAGTCGTTCTGGGCACTCTGTATTTTCTCTACTTTATTCTATATTGCTCCTCTGGGCAGCCCTCTCTTCGCACGTGCGGCCTTCTCCTCGTTCGCCTGACACTCTCTGGTCCACGGGCATGTGCACTTTAGTGACTTCGCAACTAGTGTCAACTTTCCTGTCTACTTTGCATCTAGGTTGGTTGCCATCTAGTCCACACCTAGTTTTCCAATGCCGCCAGGCTCCTGCCCCCCTGTATACCTGCCACACACCAGCATAGCTTTAGTCGATGTTGTACGCCAGTGTGTGGTTTGTTCAGTAGCGAGTGAGCCCCACTGATTGATTCACTCGCGCCAACACACCGCCTTAACTCGCCAAGACTAACAACGAATACTGAAATTCGCCCATGCTCATCGGCATGCCCGAGTAGCTGGCATGCACTGACCAGTTCAGTCATGTCACCGCGCAACGCGCGTGCAACCGTAGCTCCACCTGTAGTCAGTGAACTTGTGGGCGGTTACAAAGCCGGATGCGTGCAGCCGGCCAAACACTGTTAGCCTGTAGTGTATTCATGCATGCGTGCTTGAAGGTGGCAGTGCTCACTCAGTACTAGTGCACATCACTAACTGTTACTAGTGATGTGCACACTAGGTTCTCACTTGCTGAAACGTACACACTGTGCTCTACACTGATTTTCATTGTCATAGTCCGCATATAAAGAGATGTCCTAACAAACTTTGCCAGATGTATGGTGTTAACCCCAACTCCTTTCCCTAGGCCTTGAATAACTGGATAAAGCCGTTTGCTCGACTTTTTTTTCGTAACAGAAATCACGCGCGCCCTGTTTCTCCCATATTTATTTTGGCTTTGCTTCATCCATTCTATTCTACTGTTTCTAGTCTCTGATGATTGGAGTATTTATTCTTCTAGTACTGGCATTGCGTATATGTATACAGAACAAATGTACTGTATTGACTCCACTCCGGTGATTGCTTGCTGCCAAAGCACAAACATGTATCCATATGGGGTATGGGGTGCTTGATGGTAACGGACATTGTGCAGAATGATTAGTTGATTACTAGCTTTTTTTTACTACAGTACCGCTCAATGAAATACAATAGAGAGGTTCCGCACCACGTAAAGTTGAGCAACTTTACGTTAGTGGGCGGGAAAAACCCGTGAATTCGCGAGTTTGCACTCCACTTACGGAAAGTTGTCTACGCAGAGTACGTAGATAGTGCTCTGATAACGTAGCTGGTCCGTAAGTGGATTGGGGTACAAATTTATGACTCTCTCCCCAGGTCGATCTGGTCGTACACTGCCATGTTCGGAGTTGCCAAGGGCAGCTACGTGATTTGAAAACTCCGTATGGCGGAACCCAGATCGGCATGCAGTTTACGTAAGACTTTCCGTAGATCGACTACGGTTTTTACTAACGTAATTACGTTATGCGGAACCTCTCTAATCAAACGAAATCAATGCCGATTCAAAATACAACTTTCTGCGATGCGACACGCGATTTGCGACAGGTGCGACAAGAAACTGCCTGTCGCGAGCCGTCGCAAGGCACCTGTCGCAGAAGTCGAAGAAAGTTCAACTTTTGCGACATGCGACGCACGACATACACAAATGGAGCCGGAGTACAGTTTCTACCCTGGGTGCACGTTCATTGCACGTGCATAGTACTACTATAAATTGTAGTGCGCCGTCGCAAACATGAAATGATCGATTGTGAACCGTGTGTTGCTGTCGCAGCTCGTCGCGTCGCAAGAAATTGTATTGTGAATCGGCCTTTAATGCGCCGCTGGGTACTGTGCAACTCTAAACCTGCGAACACTGGGATGTAAACTGGCGCATGGCGCAAAGCTTACTCACGCAATCAGATTTCATTGAGCAGCACTGCATGTACACGGTAAACCTGCTTGAAGTTGGACCATGCACATAGTGACATTGTCTGTTCTTGATTCCCCCTTTTCCGAACAATGCAAAGCAGCTGCATGCTAGCTTTCATCCCTGGTATAATAAGATGCTCTTCCCTCCCCCCCCCCCCCCCCAACATACACACACTTTTAGACACACGCACACCCACACCACACAGCAGCCACCCACAGGCAGACATGTACGTGCACAACCGAAAGCACCATTGCCGATTCGAGAACACACTTCTCAGTCAGTCGGCAAGAAATAACGGCGACACGGGTGAATCAGTACTTGACGACTCCATGCGGTGAGTCAATTCAGTCCGGTAGAGATGAGTATCAACTGATGTCAGGAGTGAGCCAAGCGAGCATGTCCTGTTAGCTAGAACTGGCCGCCACAGTGTAGCTAACAGAGAGGTGCAAAGTAAATCAAGTATTCCTACAGCTGCACGTTAGTGTTAGAAGAGATATGTCGGTGCAGTAGGCACGTACAGAGTCGGATGATCTTTCTCAGGTATGGTCGGATGCTTGTCAAAGCGCCACTTGAGCACTTCTCTGATCGGCACCTTGAGCTCCAGGAACAGATTGCAGTAGTGTATGTGTGCTCTGCCCATGCGACCCCTTCCGTGATAGCGGATGAACGGCCGACACACACCCTTGGATGTGTAACAACGATCTGAACACGCAATCAACATAGCACACGGTACAAAGTATAAGTATAAGGAGTGCCAATACTTCGCCCATTGGGCATCATCAGGGCATGTTTGTGCAGCTGAGAGCCTGTTCGTGGGAATGCAAGTGTATATAAGACGTATAGAAGGTACACCGTAGTGTCTTCTATACAGGCCTGTCTCATACAAGCCTGTTTTCGAATACAAGCCTGAGTTTTCGAGATGCGCTGTCGGCACATAAGCCTGGTTGTAGTGTTGACATACATAGAAATACCTGTCTTTTATAGATGCCTGTCTCATACAGAAGCCTGCAAATATCCCCCCAAAAAGTCATATAATTATAAGCCGCGGCTTTTATACACGCCTTTAAGGTGCATGTACTGCAATAACAGTCACAGGAAACTTACGGATATAGAGGTTGGTCTTGTCGGGACCGGCATATCTCGGCGACGCTGCAGCCTGCGTTCGCTTCAGCAGCTGCCAATGCAGGCACGTTACCGCCATGATACGGGAATACACAGGATACACACACACCACACACACACGCACACACATATACATACACCACACACACATAAACACACACATACACACATGTATGCACACATAAACACATGCATGCACACATAAACACACACATACACATGCATGCACACACACATACACCACACACACGCATGCACACACAAACACACACACGCTATAAATTAGTATAGCCAAAAGAATGTGAGTACTTGAGAAGAGTTTTGAACACCGGAGCGCTGAACAATGACAGGTCACCAATGTAATAATTATTTTACTTTGTTTTTGAAGAAAAAAAAGAGGATGGGAGAATTCACAGACACAAACCTTACCTGAGCAATCGCATTTCCAGGTCGCTTGAATGTACCACTACATTGAGCAATAGCATCTGAGATCATCATTCCATTGATCTGCGATGAGAGAGAGAGAGAATGAAAGGGAGAGAAAGAGAATGAGAATGAGAGAGAGAGAGAAAGAGGTCCTCATAAGGTCTATGTCACATCTGCGTTTCTGTGTTGCCGCATAAGAGCACATGCCAGGGTGCAACAGGGGTTTCAGCCTTGCAGAGTTACAGAGCTACAGCGGCATTGTAACTGAACTAGCATGGCAATTACTTGCTGATGAGTAGCACCGAAAACAGCCAGGATAGATGAAATCTAACCCTTGCAGGCTGGAGCAGGCATACTCAGCCCTCAAAAGAAACCAGTTTAAAGTCATTGCTAACATTTCGGCTCAATGACCATTTTCAGTGTACTGCCTAGTCCTAGGTCACCGAGCCCCCATACACACGCACCCACATCACACCACATCACACTACACATACTGACCATAGATGCCCAGCGGGTGATGCGCTTCTCGTGCATTCGAATACCTGTCATGCTACCGTTCACTTCCTGCATTGGCAAGCGCAAACACATAATGTGTGTGTGGGGGGGGGGGGGGGGGGCAATACACGCACACACAGGTACATGCACACACACACAGGTACATGCACACACACACACACATACACACACACACACACGCACACACACATACAGGCGCCAGTACACAAATACTCATACACGTGCCTGCTAACAGCAAAAAAAAGAGCGTGCAAGCAGAACACTTGACAGGCAGCTGATGCTAAATTAAGACAAGAGGGAGAGAAACAATACGCCGCCCAGCAAGACAAGAGGACAAGCCAGGATACTGGCAGATACGTACAAATCTGAAGAGAATTTCTTGCTCTGGTGAGAGTTTGTACTTCTGTATTTCCACTTCTTGTGACCAGGACTTCATTTGTGTCTGGAAAGAGATTTTCGGCTGTGCATTGGCAAGCTCTGGAGATGTCCGTGCAGCAATAAGTTCACGATAGGCCTGCTCTTCGCCACTGGTATGAGAGCCAAAACGGCAAGGCTGACGGAAAGCAGTGGTAAACGCCGCGCTCTGCAAACCAACAAACAGAAATTACAAGCAGTATTCGTAAGAATCGTCACCACAATCAGTCCAATGAGTCTGGACTGAGTCTGTGCACATGTGTGTGTGTGTGTGTATGTGTGTGTGTATGTATTGTATAAAAGACCAAAAAGTAGGGATTCACTAGACAGAAAAAGCCACTTCATAGCTGTGTGGTGTAGACCAGGCTGAATAGTGGCGGTCAATTTTCCGCATAATCCTTGCGTAATGGACTGTTTTAGGCCGCCTGATTATGTGAATATTTCAGAGATTTGTTCACGCAGTTCACTGGGGATAGGTATGTGTGTGCGTGTGTGTGTGTGTGTGCGCGCGCGCGCGCATGTATGTGTTTGTGGGTGCGGTGTGTGTGTGTGTGTGGGGGGGGGGGGGGGGGTTGGAGAGAAAAAAAGAGAGAGACATAGATCGATCGAGAAAGATAGATATTAGATAGATAGATAGATAGAGAGAGATGGAGAGAAGGACGTACACTATGTACGAGTACACTTTGCACAGGGACAGGACTGCAATCAGGTTCTCGTCATGTCCAAGATGTGATCAAAAAAACCAATCCTGGGACATGGTGCATTTCATAGCCATCTACATGTCAACATGTTGTCTGCTACAAACTCCGAAAGGCAGATTGCCCATTAACCAATAGATAAAAAGATAAATACAAAGATAAATACAATTTACGTAAAGTTCAATTTCATTGCTCACCCTGCATCCCGGCAGATTTGAGCTAACTGCTCGTAGCAACGCCATGCCCGTTACCTACACCTTTCTCATCTGCAATTGGTTTGAAGTCTCCTCAAATCGAAGCTACAAATCAGCGATGAAGAACCAGCACTTCCAGTACAACCCTACAATCTACCAAAATAAAATTAATACTGCCAGGTGTCTTGTGACGATCTTTGAATATCCGTAGTTTTCCTGTTTTTTTTTTCGGTCCCACCAGAAAAAGATGCGGCGCCATGGAAACCGATGACGCGTTGACCCGCTTGAGTTTGAGTACGACTCGAGTACTACGAGATCGCGAGAGACAGAATAGAAGGCGAAGTGTCGTGTCGGATCGTTCTCAAAGTCGCCTTTGAAAAATTCTTTGGTTGTTTCAAGAAATGCACCCTGAGTGGCAAGAGCGTCGAAGAGAAATCGTTGGTTAGTGAACTAGATATGGATTACTATAAAGTTCTGGATATCCCAAGCGACTGTGACGCCATGGTCATCAAGCGCAAATTTCAACACCTGGCACGAATTGTAAGGTTCGCTTTGTGTCAGTTATTTTCTCCTCTTTCCCTTTTCTTTATTTTGCAAAGGGCAGGGATTTCCGGTACCGCTGTGCAGTGTAAAATTTCCTTCGTACTGTATATCCTTTTCATAGTGACACGGCGAAAGTACTGTAGTAATCAAATAATATTGGCAGTTTGGTGTGAGCAAGAACATGTACTTCAACACATACATGTTTTATTGAGAAGGAGCATAAAATTATGTACTATTATGAGATGAAATAAATTTCAACAGGAACACATACATGTTGTTATTGGATGGCCATAAAATACATCACAGAGTTTAGGTCTCCAGCATTACTGTAGTATCTATGCCTGCCGTGCAAAAGTGTAGAGAGTCAATCAAGATCTTTGAAAGGGAACTATGGTCTTCGAATACTTAAGCGGGATTCACAGAAGCTTTTTTGCGATGCGACACGCGATGCGACAGACGCGAAACCGGGAAAACCCCAAATCGTAGCCATGTCGCACCCCACGCAACTGCCGCAACTGGGCCATCGCAGGCCATCGCAGAAGTTGAGCTTGGCTCAACTTTTGCGATGCGATGCGATGCGACAAGCGATTTGGTGTACGATTTTGACCTTTTCTACAGCAAAGTTGTACAAAGGTGCAAGAGTTGCCCATACATTTTTACAAGTTGTGTCAAACCGCGCGAATATCATGGTGACGTACCCAAATCAGCAAAACTTTGTCGCATCGTTGACTTCTTCTGTGAATGGTATTTCGCGAGTTCGCATCGCACGCATCCATCGCAGATCCCGTCGCATCGCGTGTCGCATCGCAAAAAAGCTTCTGTGAATCCCGCTTAATGATAACATTGTGTATGCATTTACAATTATTATTCACGATTTGCTAGAATTACTCACGTGGTTTGTTATATTCTCGCTCAGTGAAGTCCCTCTGCAGAATAACTCTACGATGTGTCACTATCTGACAGGGTTCACTGTCACCCCGTATCGGGTGCAAGCACCCACTGACAGATCAAACACTTTTCTTTCCTCATCTTTGATCTTTCTGTCTTCGTCCTGCTCACTACTGTTTGTCGTTCGAATTTCTGATTTATTTATTTATTTTGCTTCTGCATTTCCTGCATTTGTTTTGCACCATGTTTTCCATGGATACGCGGGCTGTGCGCAGCAGCGCGCCTTTCTGGGGAGACTGGTATCGTTTTAGGTTGCGTCCCGCTACCCTTATTTGTTGCGTGTAGTACGCTGGTCTCGTTTGTGCGGCACTTTTACGTGCACGTTTTGCCAGGGATAGCGGTTTTGCATTCGCTCTTCTTGGCGCAGCCAGTTCTCTCGGTGCTTCTCTCTCATGTCTCTCTCCTTTCAACAATTGCATAATTTGTTCCTTATCTGAAAAGGCTGTGATCTTTTGTGTGACGGTGTGCACGGGGTGCATGACTGAGTGCCTGGGAAGGTTTAGATAACATCTTCTTGTTTCGTTGTTTACTGCTACAGCATCATCCAGATAAGCTCCCTACCACTTTGTCGCAGGCTGAGAGAGCAGAATCTCTTGAACACTTTCAGAAGATAGAGGAGGCCTGGAGAGTGCTGAGCGATGAGAAGCTGCGAAATAAGTTTGATGCTGAGCGAGGTGAGCAGTTCGAACATGTTCAGATTGATGTGAACATACAGTGATATGGAACAGCATGAGACCCCGAATACTGCTCACACGTGATCATTTATATGCCATAGAGTTCATTGACGAGATGCGTACAATGTCTGAACCTTTGAAGCCTTTTAAAATTTCCTTTGGCTTTGACTTCGATGAAGTTTGTTCGTTAAATTTGCAAGCTGACAGGAGGTGGCTTGGGCGAGAGACAGCAAAAATTGGGAATTCCGCTAGGACCTGAAAGGTCTGATGTGGAATTCAGGTTACACTAGGAGGTGAAGGCGGAGAATGTGACAGTATGTTAGGCCTCAAATCTTCGCTTTTCATGAGCTCATTTATGCACAAGCAAAAAGGCAACGTCTGACAGCGGAGAATGAGACAGGGGCGGTGCGGGTGGGAACACACTGTCAAATTCTCCACCTTCACCTCCAAGTGTAATCTGAATTCCACATCAGACCTTTCAGGTCCTAGCAGAATTCCCAATTACGCTTCGGAGGCTCTGGCTACGAATGTGACGGTGTGATGTTTAAAGAAAAGACCTCACATGAGTAGCAACTTTAGAAATCGGAACCGCAGTCCGCACTTGTAGAAGACCACTCCTTACCCAGTGCCAACACTCAAGACGGCTTGGCCAAAAGAAGCTTGGCCGTGCGGTCGGTAATAGTGGCGGATGAATGTGTTGGGCCGTGACCAACCAGCCGTCGCCAACACATCCGCCAGTGACACCTCGGCTTGTCGTGCAGTACTAGTGGAAGCACCCCGCGTGAAAATTGGCTGAGAAGTCACTTTAAATACCCGCTGCTTGGAGCAGTGATGTCACCCATCTGGCGACAGTTGAGATCGAGATTGGCTGAAACGGTCGGCGAGTGGACAAAACGAGAGCACTCTGCGCAGGTGCATTGCGGCTGGACTTAGTCACATCTAGATAGACTTTGATGCATTCCACTGGGCACAGGATCGGGTCGGCCGGCAGACCTTGTTTTGGTGATGTGAGTCATCTCAAACTCCACACCATCTGCCAGGAAGCGCATTGTCCACAGCCTCGATGATGGACTGGCGGCGGATGCCATTAATCGAAGCCATCAGGTCTCCGACCAGGACAAGCGTGCGCTGGAGCACATCCTTCACTTCCGCCGATGGTACGGAGAGCTCCTCCGCTGCCAGAACATCTTCCTCTGCCTCCACCAGGGGGGGGGGGGGGGGGGGGAGCATACACGCGGCCGGACCAGAGAGCGATGCTACATCGCATTGAATATCCGCCCACTGTGAATCGGAAGTCTTTGGGAAGCGGGAACCAGCCCAGTGCAATACCATACCATCCACCTTGGGCACATAGGCTACTGCCGTGTCACGCCGCGGATGATCCTCGTGCATGGACTTCCGCTGCTCGTCAGAGAGCGGAGACCGAACTCCGCGTAACTCGTCACCGCCTCAGGGGCGTTGAAGAGGAATTTGCGACTCGCCACCGCAGTGGTCGGTGCAAAGTCCAGAGCTCTGGCGGCTTGTTTGGCGGCAGGCTCTCCAATATTAGTGCAAGTATTGGCTGTATCACTGCTGGACTCCAGGACCTCAGTCCCTGGGCCAGGCAGCGCTTTGTTCTCGGCGGAAATACAGAGCCTTACAGCCCACTGTGCAGCCGAAAACGGACGCTCTCCAATCGGAGCTAGCCCAGGCGGTGGCAAATAAAACGATCCATAGGCTGGGTAGCCTCCATGCGGCATGGGTATTGCCGGCACCCTGCAACTTCCGCAGACAGTGGGGGATGCGGCCGAAAGCAAAGCACGCTGAGTGGGCTGTGGTGCCCTCTCAGACACAGCATTTCCACTCTGAATCTCTGCAGCGCCGCGATTTGCCAAATGCGGGTCGTGCTGCGTGGGACGCGCAGAACCAGCCGTCCCCGGACTGGGGAGGTCACTATCGGATGCCATGGCTCTGCAATCAACCATAGGTAGGCTATACCGCTACATCCAAAGAGAAATAAATCTGCAACTGCAACAATTTGGAGCGAAGAAAAAGGCAGAAGAAGCGTGAGAAAGGGAGGGAATATCAAGGGGACAAGGTTGGAGTTTGTGTAAATTGTCTCTTTAAGGCTGCGTTTACACGACAACGCTGGGGGCGAAAACGCAACGAAATCCTTTCGGATCCATGGTTCATTTACACGGTACGCGGAGCAAAACGTAAAAGTTGTACACCAAAACGGAAGAAAACCAAAAAAACGCTGGCCAAGGTGGAAGAATTTGAAAACAGAAATGTGCTGCCGGATAAATTTGGGTATGTATTAAACAGTCGAAACGGTGTGCTGGCCTCGTTTTTCGTCACGTTTGTTTCGTTTTCGGCCGTTTACACGGATCCGACAATCCAAAAAAATGTGTTTACAATTTTCGTCATGTGACGTGTGTTGTCGTGTGCTTGTTTTCAACTATTACTTGAGTGTGATTGGTACTTCCATGGCAACACTTGGCACATGACGAACTTTGGCGGATCCTTTGCTCTCGTGTAGACGCTTGAAAACGATACAAATGGAGACCACCTCGGATCGGCTTTGATCGTGTAAACGTACGAAAACGAAAAAAGAAATGCGGGACTGAAAACGGAAAACTGGCCGTGCGTGTAAACGCAGCCTAAATCACTGTGAATTATTTGAAAAGCGAAGATTTGAGGCCTAACACACTGTCATATTCGTAGCCGGAGCCTCCGAAGTGTGAGGTGAGGTGCCTTTGGGTAAGAAAGGAAGAGAGAGGAAGTTTTGTCTTTTTTGATTATCAATTTATCATCACACGTGCACATCAGGTGTGATGGAAATAGTCTATTATAGAGGAGAGAATCAAAATGGTGAAAGGTCTCCTTCACTTGACGAGAAAGCAGGAGCATGCGCACTGCACATTGAGACTGTAGCGCTGCGTATCTTGCACAGTCGAAACTAGCTGCATCACTGAGCGCCACCCAGCGGCCTAAAGATGAAACAGTGCATTGTGTAATACAAGACAGAACTGCTGGGCACCTTGCTGTACTAATAAATCACCAAACCGCAACCAAACATATCCCCACCCCTCACAGGAATATCGCAGAGAGCAAATGAAGATATGACTGATACTAAGTGAAACAAAAAGAGAAGTAAAGAAAATGCAAAATGCTGTGAACTTTTTGTATGCAATTTGGAGGAGATGAAGAATACTTGAATATTCGATCGAAGAAAATCAGCGTTCTCCAACTTGGGATCCTACTGGTGAACTCTCACCCCTACTTGTATATAAACACACAGTACGGAGAGAGGGAAGTGTGCTGCGACTTTGAGTTTATGTTCACTCATGATCATCAGGCTGTGTTTACATGAGAAATTTCAACCCGGGTCGAGTTCAGCCCGGATTGAAAGTCTGTATGATAGACAAAAGAGGTGAGCGTTTACATGAGGACAGTTGACCCGGGTCAAATACTGATATGCCACCAAAAGTCCACTTCTACAGTCCTGTATGGTCACGTGAATCCGTTCGCGCGAAATTTGCATCTGCAGTGCTGTTCAAACCTGGCGCGAGATACGCACAGAAGTACGTTTGTACGATTTTCTTGACCCGGGTTGATTTCAACCCTCCCCTTGGGGGGGGGGGGGGTTGAAATCAACCCGGGGCGAAATTTCAACCCGGGTCAAGCGCAATGCGTCATGTAAACGCGCCATTCACTTTGTGTACATGCTACATGGCGGGTTGAAATCTGACCCGGGTTGAAACGCTTCATGTAAACACAGCCTCAGACTTCTTTGTGTTACTGTAGTGTGCGAATAGCTTTGCCTCAGTGCAGTGACCTCTCTCTCTCTCTCTCTCTCTCTCTCTCTCTCTCTCTCTCTCTCTCTCTCTCTCTCTCTCTCTCTCTCTCTCTCTCTCTCTCTCTCTCTCTCTCTCTCTCTCTCTCTCTCTCTCTCTCTCTCTCTCTCTCTCTCTCTCTCTCTCTCTCTCTCTCTCTCTCTCTCTCTCTCTCTCTCTCTCTCTCTCTCTCTCTCTCTCTCTTGCTGTAGTAATTGTGTGAATATCTCAGCGTCAGTGCATTGACCACTCTTCAAGCAGTAGGGCATCATATTTGCTTTTACTATATGGGCCTCAACCAGCGAAAACAGCCCTTAGGGTCAAATTTTTCAAAATTCCTTTTTGGTTAGAAATTTGTTGAAACACATCTACTGAAGGACCTCAGCCAAGAAAAAGTTCAATATTCCGATTCAAAACGGGTGTATACACCAATATACAATATGTACTCCAAATTGGTGCAATGTATGTATACGATGTATGTTTACAATAAATATTCAGCATTCTAAGGTGGGTAGGCAGCTTGAATACCTTTGAAATAGTGCAGTAAGCAGCTAGAATGACAAAGAATAGCGGAAGAGTGCGGAGACATGATCGACTTATTTGCAGCTGCATCCTGCGTGGAGTCGTTCCGCAATGTCTTCCATTTCGTCCTGCGCAGCTGACGACACGACGTCGCTGCCGTCACTAGCCCCATACTCAGAATTTATCTCAGGTGATGACTCCTCATCTTCCGACTCCGACAAGTCATCGACCACCTTGAGCCGCAACGCAGCAGTAGATGACGGCTGCGATTCCGCCTCGCTGTCGACATCGATGTCGGAACCAAATAACGTCTCATCCTCACTCTGAACTTCAGCGGCTACTTCAGCATCCACTCCCCACCAGGCTCGAGCTAGCTGTACACAATGACTGCCGCGTGTGCTCTGCGAACAGCTCTGGCGTCCGCAGCCATCGCAACAAGATCAAGGAACACTCGAGTCGCCACTCGACACCACTTCAACTAACTTCAAATAAATTCAAGCAAGGAGATCAAGAAGAACTCGTCGCGCTGTTTGCAGCGCGATCAAAAAATCGTTGAACGTCACAAATCGACCTTTTTCTTGAAAAAATTACGAAACCTCTAAGGGTCGTTTTCGCTGATTGCGGCTCATATTGCTTTTTTTCTTTTGCGATTTGCAGCTCAGGGAATGAATCAGCAGATGCCAATCAGCGAAGATGTGGACTTGGACACTATGGAGTTTGATGAAGGTTAGTCGCTACGAATGCATGCGCGTGCTTACCAGTCAGTTTCATCAGCTCTGTCTCATCTAGCATTATTGTATGGTAGCTAGCAATGCCAGAAATTTCACCCTCTCAGGGCTAAAACACATTTTGGCCACATTAAAATTTCAGCCTGTACTACTGTATACTGCTGGCTGTTTATCCAATAGACTGGCCACTGTACCTTGCAAAACCAAAATTTCAGCCACAGTGATTTCTAGGCCTGAAAGGGCCAGGCCAAAAATAGCCGAAATTCGTTGATTGCCAGTACTGTGCATTTCCTAGTATGCGCAGACTCCACTGTAGCCATCCACTATGGCCATACATCATCACAGCACTCTTTAACCCTTTACCTTCTGTGTGTACATGAATCGACCGAATTTGGTCGATGGACATGCATGCACTAAAACAATCGTAACTCGATCACTTCTTGACGGAATCTCAAAAACTAAATAGGTAGGAAGAAGCCGAAGAGCCCAGCTGTTCATTGCAACAATCGGCAAAGAGCTGCGATGCCGCATTCCAAAGATATCGCGCTCGACATTTCAGTCAAGGCAAAAGTCGATGTTTTTCTGAGTGACTGGCCTTGAGCTGGGGATTTTCCCTCTCCTGACTTGCTGAGTCACCTGTGCATGTTTTGAGCGCGTGGGCAGCATAAAAAGAAACCCAGGACAACAAATTTGAAATGTTTATGATGAAGGAGTGAGAAATGGCTGACGAGGAGAGAATTTTCTCGGATACCCAGCGATGGGGAGTATTTGAAGCACCCTGGCGTTGGATATGTGATCTCAGTAGTGTCAAGTTTGAGCTCATTGTACGCAGCTCGTGGAGAGCTTTCCAGAATGCCCAAGAGTGTGAAAATCGGTTGATTATAACCAAAGATATTCTCAGAATGAGGTGAGAAATATCGTATTTGGAACTGCCTGGGAATTATGGTCAGAAGGTAAAGGGTTAAAGGGGAAGTTAAGGCAAAAATTAAAATTTCACCAGTTGTAGTCTTCGGGGTGCTGAGTCGAATGGTCGTGGTCCGAGGAAGCTGAGACGCTCCCTTCCTACTTGAATCCCAATCGAACTCGCGCACTTCCACCGAAACTGGGTGACTGCGCCCTACTAGATGGGGATTTGTATGCAAAATGTCACTAAAAGCGCCATTTCGTTCTTATAAAAGCACGGATGACCGCGATTGGCCCATATGTTGTAGTCTTTTAGACGCTGAGTCGACTGGTTTTGGTCCGAAAACGCTGCAATGCAGCGTTCCTCTTTTATTCCCAATCGAACATGGTTGAACAAGCGGTCACGTGCTCCTGCGTACGCCAGTCACCTGGTCATCGTGCCTGCAGGGTACAACTTACTAGCCTGTTTGACCTTTTTTGGGTGCAGTCCTGTCACTCGAGTTGAACCTTGGTGTGAAAGTTGTCGCCTGCTGGCGTGGTGACCAGGTGATTTGGGCACCCAGGAGCACGTGACCGCTTGTTCAACCATGTTCGATTGGGAATAAAGGAGGAACGCTACATCGCAGCCTTTTCGGACCAAAACCAGTCGACTCAGCGTCCAAAAGACTACAACATATGGGCCAATCGCGGTCATCCGTGCTTTTATAAGAACGAAATGGCGCTTTAGTGACATTTTGCATACAAATCCCCATCTAGTAGGGCGCAGTCACCCAGTTTCGGTGGAAGTGCGCGAGTTCGATTGGGATTCAAGTAGGAAGGGAGCGTCTCAGCTTTCTCGGACCAAGACCATTCGACTCAGCACCCCGAAGACTACAACTGGTGAAATTTTAATTTTTGCCTTAACTTCCCCTAAAATGGTCTCTGGGCTACACCAATCAAGGAAAATAATGAAGTTTTCCTAACACAGTACTATTCTGTACATCAACAACTATTCGGCGCATATTTATTTTCGGCTATTTTTCCCTGAGCCTTCGAGACCTAAAATTTGTGGCAGCTTAACTATTTGTTTGTAAAGTACAGTTTGGCAGAATTTTCAGGCACGGCAGGTACAGGCTGAAATTTTAATGCAGTAGAAAATGTTCTAGTGTTCAATGTTCATAGAAATACCTTGTAGTCTGAATTTAGCAATGTGTAGATGGGACAAGACCAGGTGCTTCCGTACTCGAGCAACCCGATGAATTGGTGTCTGCCTGGCTTGGCAGTTAAATGTTATGTGTAGTGTGTATGTTGAATCGGCTTGGCGTGGCTGTTTGCATGTGTCTCTTGTTTGCGCCACAGAAGAGAAGACATACTGGCATGAATGCCGCTGCAGTGGACGCTATGAAGTGCTGGAAGAAGAGCTGGAGAATGGAGTGACGCTTGTTGGCTGCACAAACTGTACACTATGTATACGTCTGCTCTACTCACTTGCACCATCCTGAAGCAATTCAGTGCCGACATGAATGCCAGGGGTGACACCAACTAGTCGAATGTTCGACTGTTCTCTAAGCATGTCGAACAGAACGAATACATGTATTCGTATTTCTGACGAACACAAACTCGTAAGGTCAGCAGCGCTCCGAATCGCGACGTGCAGCGTCTCAAACACGATTTGTCCGCACAGGCCAAGAAGGTCGAGTGAGACTCACTGGCTTTGACGGCAACACGGCGCGAACAGCTGGGCAAAGAGCTGAAGAAGCTGGTGGCCGCGTACTGTGGCGGGTGCACAGTGCTGCGTCTCTCCACTGAAGTGTGTCCCTGGCAGTCCGCAACGGTCTGCGGCAAGTACTGTTATTGTTTTATTTACGACACTGTTATTACATGTACTCGCAATAACCAGTACTTTGAAGTACAAAGTTGCCTTGAATTTATTTCTAAGTATTTATCAGAAAATTGATTTACGCTTCAGTCAGGGGATGGGACAAATAATTGTTTACTTTGTGCGATAGTCCCAGTGGTTCTGATACCGGCAACTCATGGCAAATACATGTATGTGGATGTGACCCCAGTATTCATTTCCAGGCGATGTTATTATACTGAAATGGCCTTAATTGACCTTGTATCTGCCTGGAGATAAAGGCTAAACGAGAGTCACAATTGGACAATGAAATGGTGTACAGTGGTGTGCAGTGTTGTATATGGCATGTGGCTGCTTGGATATTACTATTTCTGTGGTTCGCACTTTCGAACTCGCCTAGCCGAGTTCGTTCACCCTTCAACACAAATAATTGAATGCCATAGTCTGGTTTCACGCAAAGCAACTGTACATGCCTGAGGCCTTGAGCTAGGGAGTAGTATTTTTACTACTCCCTGCCTTGAGCGGTGAACGATCAAGCTTATGATAGGTAGTAGTAGTAGTAGTAGTAGTAGTAGTAGTAGTAGTAGTAGTAGTAGTAGTAGTAGTAGTAGTAGTAGTAGAATTTATTATTTTGATAGGGAAGGCCCTACAGACGTTGCCGTCTTGTTACAGGGAACCCTAAGTGCTCTTTACAGAGCGGAACAAAAAAAAAGGTTAGGCCGCATTGGGTGGGTGTGCATGTATCATTGTATGTGAATGAACAAGAAGGTGTTGTCAGAAAGTCTCAAAACCGATGGCTACTTTAGCTATGGGTCTTGAATAAGGAACTGAAGCTTAGGTCACGGTGCCGCATGGTCTATATTTTTGCTACTCTGGACCACTTGCTTGTCACCAGGTGCAGGTCACAATGTTCTCTTGAGAATGGGTATCCATAAAGCGTGATTGACAGTGAAACCATTTACCTATACGTAAATACTACATGAACTTGAAGTTGAAGTTGAAGTAAGTAACAGTTCAAGGAGTAAGAACCAAAACTGGCACTAAAAGACCAGGGAGTAAGTAAAACTGCGACAACCAGGGAGTCGTAAAATACCGGTATTTTACGACTCCCTGGTGACAACATAATCATTACTACTCCCTCTCGTCACCATGGTAGCCAGGCATTTCTTGTTTTTTTGCAAAATGAAAAAGATACGCAAAAAAGGGACAATCGATATCGATCGAGCGCGAGCTGAGCTCGTGCATTATAATTATGCCATGTGCATCAGAAAGAAAAGAAACTCAAAATAATTGAAATAATTGGAATTCTTGATCCATGTAATTGTTGAGTTGATAGAGGTCGGCTCGTAGGTATGAGTGAGGGTCTTCCTCATCCGAGGCCTCTAGAGCCTCTGCATCCAGTTACAAAGCCGAAATACACTGGCACTGGTGCAGGTTCGATTCGTGCTTCAAGATTTGGATTTGCAAACAAACCTATTCTGCCTCCTAAACCGACCCCAATTTATCAGAAAGGTGCAGTGCCGATTCCTATCTTGAGTAATGGTGTTGGGAGGTACACTTGTCTTCTGCTGCGACTGACTTTAGTGCGATGCTCGTTCCGCTGTAGCCTGGGGCTCGATCGCTGGATCAACAACAGGCTGAAGAAGTTCTCTGAAGAAAATCCCAACGTTGCCGTCTATGTAAAGGATGCTGGCGAGGGTAATCACTTCACCAGAGTATATGGCAATTATTCGCACGGGAAGTCGCGTTTGTTCGACGTGAACAAGGACAATGAGGATGAAGTGGATAAGAAGATCCACCGCTTGCTGTACATGAACGGCTTGAAGGAGCAAACACTGTGGAGATACAAGCACACAGTTAACCCCTCTGTCCAGGGATACTGGCATCCGTTTATGAACAAACCATGGCGGAAACTGACGGAAGTCGACACGCCGAATATGAAGACAGAGCAAGAGCTTATGCAACGACGGCTTATTCGCCCGGAGACAATTGAGACTGAAGTTTAAGCTTCTCACTGTGAACATCGATGTAAGCATCGTTGCAGACATGACTCATGGGTAGATTTATTACCGGTGTATTTTTTACATGTCTTCCTGTATGACTGCACTCAGTTATAGCTTGACTTGTTGGAACAACAGTCCATTGGAAATTCTACATGCCCATCACTGTGCGTGCGCGCGTGTGTATGCGTGTGCGTGCGTGCGTGTGTGTGTGTGTGTGTGTGTGTGTGTGTGTGTGTGTGTGTGTGTGTGTGTGTGTGTGTGTGTGTGTGTGTGTGTGTGTGTGCGTGCATGAGTATCTGGCGCATGTGCATGGGCAATAAACGCCCAGACCACAGTATTGGATACCATGTATCCAATGCTCCTAAATGAAACTCCATCTCTTTGTGCCTATGCCGTATCGGGCACTGTGTAGGCACAGAACTGCAAACACTTATCTGGACCGTACAAGCGAAGTGTGCATACTACAGTGAGCATGCCTGTAAATACAGGTAGACTTCAGCTAATGATACTGGATGGCAAGTTGTGATTCTCCTGCCCCCGCCATTATGTGATTGTGCATGAACTGTTATGATCAAGACCGGCTATAATACGTGGCAGATTCCTGGTCCCGGAATAGAGGTACTAGCACTGGGCACATACTTTAAAAAACTCTGGTATTGTGATTTCTGTCAAGGTTTGACTTCACAAACATTTCTAAGCATTAGGAAATTACAACATTTACAAGCCTCCTTTTTTTTGCTAAAACTCAACACTTGCGAGCCAGCAAGAAAGAATAGCTGCATGGTCTCCGGTTAGAGTCCCATTGGTGTGTGACTGATGTGGGTTTTCTCTCTCTCTCTCTCTCTCTCTCTCTCTCTCTCTCTCTCTCTCTCTCTCTCTCTCTCTCTCTCTCTCTCTCTCCCTCCCTCCCTCCCTCCCTCCCTCCCTCCCTCCCTCTCTCTCTCTCTCTCTCTCTCTCTCTCTCTCTCTCGCAATATCTGGGTTGAAACTTGCGATCTAAAGCCATGCTTGTTTGTTCAGGTTAATCCGGCTGCCCGTCTGAAATTTGTGCCGCCTCAATTTTGTAGGAGTACCGGTACCCTGCACATGATGCATGTGTTTGTGCCAAGAGTCCAAAATGAACTCGAATTATTACCCCATTTAAAGGGGAAGTTAAGGCAAAAATCAAAATTTCACCAGTTGTAGTCTTCGGGGTGCTGAGTCGAATGGTCTTGGTCCGAGAAAGCTGGGACGCTCCGTTCCTACTTGAATCCCAATCGAACTCGCGCACTTCCACCGAAACTGGGTGACTGCGCCCTACTAGATGGGGATTTGTATGCAAAATGTCACTAAAAGCGCCATTTCGTTCTTATAAAAGCACGGATGACCGCGATTGGCCCATATGTTGTAGTCTTTTGGACGCTGAGTCGACTGGTTTTGGTCCGAAAAGGCTGCGATGCAGCGTTCCTCCTTTATTCCCAATCGAACATGGTTGAAGAAGCGGTCACGTGCTCCTGGGTGCCCAAATCACCTGGTCACCACGCCAGCAGGCGACAACTTTCACACCAAGGTTCAACTCGAGTGACAGGACTGCACCCAAAAAAGGTCAAACAGGCTAGTAAGTTGTACCCTGCACGGACCTGCAGGCACGGTGACCAGGTGACTGGCGTACGCAGGAGCACGTGACCGCTTCTTCAACCATGTTCGATTGGGAATAAAGGAGGAACGCTACATCGCAGCCTTTTCGGACCAAAACCAGTCGACTCAGCGTCCAAAAGACTACAACATATGGGCCAATCGCGGTCATCCGTGCTTTTATAGGAACGAAATGACGCTTTTAGTGACATTTTGCATACAAATCCCCATCTAGTAGGGCGCAGTCACCCAGTTTCGGTGGAAGTGCGCGAGTGTTAGATTACAGACACCTAACCACAAGTTGCACCAGCTCACGAAACATGGGGACAGAGATTCACTTTACTTGTTACGTTGGTATCAACACCAAAGAATCTGTGAAGACTGTATTCTGCTGACTGACGTTACACTGTAATGTCCATATACACATGTAACGACAGCGCGACAAACTCATATCAAACCGAGCATAACACGCTCGTGAGAACGCTCGTAATAACACTGAACTAGACTAAGAAAGATGGATCCTAATATCCCTGCAAGATTGGGACGTTGTCCCGCTCTCAGAAGCCAGCGCTAGCCTAAGTCTACAATAGAGTAAGAGGTGAGAGCTGTCATGCATGCAGCGGAACAGCCAGTGAATAGAGAGTCCTGAGGGCTAAACCAACCATGAATAATACATAAAACCAGACACCATACATTATGAAACAAAGCTGGCTCCACAAGCTCAATGGTCTGTGAACTTTCAATTCCACATTTCCTCCCCCTCTGCTCGAACACAGCCATAAAGTGAGGGCAGTAACCTAATAAACTATAACTAGCAGAACATTTTAAGAGGCCTACGCATTATCTAAACTAAAGGTAACCATGTCAACACATCATGACAGTTCTAAACTAAGGCAGCATTATGTAACTAGTGTAAAATAACTAGTGTCAATAAGGCACTCAGCTCAGGTCTTTGGTGATACGTGTCAAACGTCTAGCGCTGGAACCACTGCTCACGTATCCTGGACATCTGCTAGCGACACTTCAGCGGTTGCAGGTAGACTCTTCGACCCGTCAACTGCTCCTGACTCTACCTCTAACGGCACCTTCGGTTGCTGCTAAGTGGGTCGTAATCTGGCTGCGTTTGGTCTCGTTTGGCAGCTTCTCGGGAACGACTATGCGCAGAGCAGGCCACTGGGACTCCTCCTGCTGTAGAAACTGTGGTCCATGCCACCAGGTTGCACAATCAGCGAGGTCCTTTGCAGCCATGCCTCTGGTCGGGTAGTCGGCAGGGTTGACCTTCCCAGGCACATGCCTCCACTGGTGACTTGATGTTGCCGTTTGGATCTCACCAATCTTCACCCCGACGTCGGTGGTAAATCGCCGGCTGTGGGATCGCACCCAGTACAGGACATTCATGCTGTCCGTCCAGAAGACGTGGTCCTGCATGGGAATGCCGAGGGCTGAAGACACTTCTTTGCTGACTTGCACACCCAACACTGCTGCCTTCAGCTCCATCTTCGGTATGGACACCTTCTTGGTGGGCGCCAGTCGCGCCTTGCTAATAGCGAGTGTGGTCTTCACTCCAGTTGAATGGATGGTGCTCACATAAGCCACAGCGGCAATGGCGGCATCAGACGCATCAACGAAGACATGTACTGTAGTCTTGACGTCTTCTGCATCCTTGGGCTTGAAGCAACGGTCAATACGGATAGCAGACAGGTCTGGCAGCTCGGAGAACCACTTCTTCCAACGCTTCTGTTCATCAGCACTCAGCACGTCGTCCCAACCATGGCCGCGTATGCAGGCTTCCTGAAACATCATGCGCGGTCGTATGGTGAACGGCGTCAGTTGTCCACGTGGGTCGAAGATTGAGGCTGTCTCACGCAATACTACTCGTTTTGTCAGCTCGTCAATCGGCTCTGGCTGGGGATAGCGGAATGCGAACTCATCCTCTTTCGCTAGCCAAGTGATGCCCAGGGCCTTGGAGGTTGGGAGAAAGCTATCAGCTTGATCTCGTAAGTTGACGACAACCTCGGCTGCTCGGTCGACTTCTGGGATGGTGTCCAACACTTCCGCTGAGTTGCTGAGCCACTTCCGAATATGGAAGCCTCCCCCTTTGAGGACATCAGTAACTCCCCGGCGGGCGTTTGTCGCTGTCTGGATGTCCGGAAATGAATGCAGCATGTCATCCACGTAGAAGCTGTTGTCGACTATCGACGCTACATTGACACTGCCCTCTGCTGATGACTTGAACTTTCTCGCTGTCTCCTTGAGCACTTTGCCAGCGAGATACGGTGATGCCTTGAGACCGAACACAAGACGGTTAAACTCAAACACGCTCGGTTTTGAGTCTGGTGATTTGCGCCACAAGAACCGTGTGTAGCGACAATCTTCCGGACGGAGGTTGACTTGCAGAAACATTTCACTAATGTCACCAGCGAGTGCGATCGGTTCTGAGCAGAATCGTAGGAGCACATGAACCAGGTTTGTCTGTAGCTTTGGGCCTGTCAGCATTTCATCATTCAAGCTGCTGCCCTTCCAGGGTGCTGCTGCATCAAAGACGATACGCACCTTGGTAGTTTGGCGATCTTCCTTCACCACGGCGAAATGTGGTAGATACCACTGGTCATCGGCGTCTGTAGCGACTCTGCTGTCCGGCACCTCCTGAACGTAACCCTTGTCGATATTCTTTTGCATCGCCTCACGGTACGCTGAAAGCACGTCTGGTTGTTTGTTCAGTGACCTCTCCAGTGATACTAGCCGGCGTTCTGCCATCGGCCGGTTGTTGTGCACTGTCGGGCCGTCTGGATGTTTCCATGGAATGCCGACTTCAAACCGCCCGTTGTCGCAGCGCAATGTTGCTGCCGTCATGGTTTCAGCTTCCTTCTCAGCTGGTGTTAGATACTCCTTGTCGTTGGTGTTCGTCATTGATTCTGCCTCCCACAGCTGTCGCACGACATCCTCTAAGTTGGCACTGTTGAAATGGGTTGCCATTGGCTGCTGCTGCTGCTGCTGCTTCATGGGCCCGAAGCATACCCATCCAACTGGCAGCTTGCGAGCTATTGGATCATTTGACTCTTGGCCGACAATTTCTTGTAGAACACGGTGAGCGCCTGGGACATTCAATCCAATAAGCACATCCACTTGCTCTGTCGGTAATGTTGGAAATGGAATGTCCTGTAGGTGGGCGTATTCTTGCAGGAGCATCGAGTTGGAGTCGACTCTCAGTGACGGCGAGACTGCTGGGAGAGTCCATGCCGCAAGGTCAGTGCTGTATGTTCCGTCTTCGCTGGCCATGGTGATATGTACTTCTTTGGATTGGCGACTCACACTCTGTCCAGCCAGAACATTAGAGCGGAGGGGTTGCAATTCACCGTCTGCGCCCAACTCATTGGCAACTTCTTCTGAGACGAAACTGTCTGATGATGCAGGATCCATCAGGGCTGTTCCTCTGTACTCTCGTCCGTTTCTCTTAAGCACCACTGGCACTGTCATAAACGATACGGTGGTGCTGGGAGTGGTCAGCTCCGATGATGGATTCACGAAGTGTATGACTGGCTTCTGGGCTGTCTTGCCACTAGAATGGGGAGCAGACCGAGGCTTGTCTTTATCTTGCTGCTTCGGTGTGCCCTGTTTCCGGTCCACACGGTCTGTGTGTAGCAACACATGGTGTCGGGCTGAACATTTGCTGCAGCTACTTGCCTGGCAGTCAGCCTTCCAGTGACCTTGATCTAGGCAGCACGAGCATAGCTCCAGCAGAAACACCAGGTCCCACCTCTTCCGGGCAGGTAAGGTTTTGAACTTGCCACAGCTGCTGATGTGGTGAGCGCCATGGCATCTCAGGCATACGCCGCTCTTGCTGGTTGCCGGTGTCGTTGTGTGGAACGTTCCACTGCTCTGCTTGTTCACTGGTATCCTTGTGGTTGCGACTAGGGTCGCTGCATCGGCTCTTGCCGACAGCCACGTAGCGAATGTCTCAAGACTCACTGAGTCGACTGCCCGGCTGTTGGTATTTAGGTGTTCGCCCCACTGCAGCCTCAGCGTACCGGGTAGCTTGTCGGTCAGCTCTCTCCGGAGCGTTGGGTTCAGCATGTGGCCTGGACTCTTCATCAGTTTCATTGTCGTGACCACATTGCTTACTGCTGTTGAGAACTCCAACAAGCCATCGGTGTCATCAGCCTTAACCTGCCGGAATGCGCGCGCCTTGCCAATCAATTCATCCACTACTAGCTCTGGTCGACCAAATCGCCGCTCCAGAGCGTGGATGGCCTCTTCCACATTTTCAGGAACTGCCAGTATCAGTTGAACAGCATCCTTGGCCTGGCCTTTCAAGGCAACTTGTAGTCTTTGCACATTCTCTGCATCGGAGAACCCACATTGGTTGGTGCTGGACCGATACAGGTTGATGAAGGCAGGCCACTCTTCAGCTCTACCAGAGAACATGGGCAGCTTGGTGTTGATGGAGGACTGCCTGGCTGCCAAGTGTCTCATGGGCGTGTCTCCATTGCCTGGTGTCCGACTGGTGATGGCTTGCGTCATGGCACCGAGAAACTGTCCTGCTAGCTTAGTCATACTGTCCTCACCAGCAGGTCCTGCAGGTGTGGGCGATCGCGGCTTTACTTGCGTGGGTGGTCGCTTCCCCTGGTCATCCGACTCATAGCTGGGGCACGCACTGCTGTAGCCGTCGATTGGCACTGGCGTTGAGGCTTTCTGTGTACCGGGACCCGATCCTTTGCCAATGCGACTCCCAGTCCTAGAGTCCGAACGGCTGTTGGCGCGACTCGCGTCCCGTTTATCGATGCTGGTGTTGCACTCCCGTAGGAATAGCCTTTGCCATTCACCCGCTTCCTCCTGGGCACGCTCGACTCTCCCCTGCATCACTGCCAGCTGCGCCAGCAGTGTATCGTTCTCTTCCTCCAGCTCCGCGACGCGATCGTGTCCAGGGTGCGTGCTGCTCTGGCATCGATCCTTGGCGAGCAACCGATCGTGAGCTGCGCCGATGTCCATGCATCGTCGTTCCGCTTCACCAATTTGATCATTCAGCTGGTCGCATTGATCGAAGAGGTCTCTATTCTCTTTCTGAATAGTCGCGTGCCTCTCTTCCATGAAACGAATCGACGCCTGACAGCCAGCAACCTCTCTCGTCTTGGCTTTTACACGATCGTCCAGGACACCGATTTGCCGTTGGTACTCTAGTTCTTTGCGCTGGAACTCCGATCTCTCGACCATCATTGCCGTAGGCCTGGCACTGTTGGGTCCGCACTCTGACCTCACGCTCAGGCGCTGTCGGTCAATTGCGGGTGCGGGTGCGGTTGCGATCTCCGTGCGCGCGTACCCATCCAAGTCTGTTTCCGAGTCCGTTTCGCGGGATGGAGCTGCACTCCTCGCGTGCTCACTACGCTCCACAGGCACAGGCTGCTGCTGGCTCGCTGTCGCCGGTGTGCCAGGATCGGGCGTACTTGCTGGTGATTCCGTCGGGAGCGCGTCCGCTTCATCGAACACCTCTTGCTGCAAGCGCGGCGACGTCGATCGATAGGAGACTCTCTCGCTCTGCGCTTCATCCGCAGCTAGCTTAGCGAGCTCCAAATCCTTCTCTGCCAGCTTCCTTTCCGCTTCCAGTACAGCTCGCTTCGCACTGTACCGGGTCGATGTAGACTTTCCACTGCTACGCGTGGTTCTTGTCGAGTCCACAGACTGCGACAACTCAGCGTCTTCAAAACCTAGTCGCATCGGAGGCTTCCCTTTGGTTCCTCTTTCGCTCCTACGGTGAAGACTTTCTCTATCCTCTGCCATGTCCGTATCCGGCTCGAAGGACCAGAATGTTAGATTACAGACACCTAACCACAAGTTGCACCAGCTCACGAAACATGGGGACAGAGATTCACTTTACTTGTTACGTTGGTATCAACACCAAAGAATCTGTGAAGACTGTATTCTGCTGACTGACGTTACACTGTAATGTCCATATACACATGTAACGACAGCGCGACAAACTCATATCAAACCGAGCATAACACGCTCGTGAGAACGCTCGTAATAACACTGAACTAGACTAAGAAAGATGGATCCTAATATCCCTGCAAGATTGGGACGTTGTCCCGCTCTCAGAAGCCAGCGCTAGCCTAAGTCTACAATAGAGTAAGAGGTGAGAGCTGTCATGCATGCAGCGGAACAGCCAGTGAATAGAGAGTCCTGAGGGCTAAACCAACCATGAATAATACATAAAACCAGACACCATACATTATGAAACAAAGCTGGCTCCACAAGCTCAATGGTCTGTGAACTTTCAATTCCACAGCGAGTTCGATTGGGATTCAAGTAGGAAGGGAGCGTCTCAGCTTCCTCGGACCACGACCATTCGACTCAGCACCCCGAAGACTACAACTGGTGAAATTTTAATTTTTGCCTTAACTTCCCCTTTAAAATGGCGTAAGCAAAAGTGTACAGTTATGCGGTACACTCATTCTCTCTTACCCGCACCTCGAGTTTACGGGCACCTCGGTCTACCGGTCACCCTGTCGGTGAGTTTTAGTGAAAATATTACTGCGACCCAATATTACTACTCTTTTGCCAATTGAAACTTCCCATTGAAACTGCATCAGTTTTTATAGTCAACTTCCTGATTTCCTGGTGTGCCTTGCCCGAAAATTTGAATGATTCAAAGTTATGTTTTTCTTCAAGTCAGTGATTGGTACATGGTGTAGCCCAGAGACCAATTTTTATAAATTTGAAGTGTTGTGAAAATCAATGGATAAAACAATTGAAGCCGAGGATATAGTCATAATTATAGTGGATGGCTACAGTGGAGTCTTCGCATACATGTATTGAAAAATGTAGTACGAGTACCCATCACGTGGCAACAATTCACACTACAGTATAGGTAGCGATACGCGTAGTCTGCATGGTGTAAATGTAGCACAATATCCGGTCAGCATGATCCGACTGCAATCACACGTTGGTGACAGACAATAGGTGATAACTAGCTATGTCAGTATGTGAGCGTTCTATACAAGGTGATTATTCAAACCGTGTTGAAAATGGAAACGGATAGGAATGGGTGCGGGTGCCGGGTATCACCATGGTTCAAGAGCACAGTGTGAGTATGTCACTGCCAGTAGTCAAGCAAGAGTAAACTCTAATTTCCTCTTGCAAGAGTAGGCTCGCAGCTTATTTACTCTCAGTGTTACCAAGAGTACACAAAAGGAAGTGAAATAGGGCTGCTTCGTTGTTGCTCAGAGTTTCATGGCAAAAACATATTCTTGGTATTACTAGAGTCCATAACCACAATAATCCCCATGGCTAGGCCCCGTGTAATATGCCGGCATTTTTTTGAGCATTTTCGGTACAATCCGCGAACCCAGCACTTTGGGCTCGTGATGCAGCATTTTGGGGGGAAACGGAGCACTTGGCCGTTGTGTATCAAAATTGAGAGAAGAAAAACTTCCCAAACAAGAACGTCACTTCCGCATTCCGTGGGTTAGCTTCTTGTTGAGTAGTTTATGAATTGTTTACCATGGCAGACTCGAGCAAGTCTCTTATTGAGTATTTTCTGACTCCCTGGTTTTGACGGCGTGTGCTAAGGATTACAAAAAAGTGAGCATTTTCCGAGCATTTTCGGCAAGGTTTACGAGAATTTCCCAAAAGCATTTTCGGCAAAGTTTCAGGCATATTACACCGGGGCCTACCCATGGCCCATTGGCTATTGCCAGTACCGGTATTGGCAAATCTACATGGTTGGAACTAACTAGTTACTAACTAATAATAATTATATTACTTGGAACTGATTGAGCTGAGCTGATGGCAGTGCAGTGATGCCAAAACTTGGCAAAAGGCACCTGATTTTCATTATTTTTACTTTTGTACTTATCCGGATATCCGGACCCGTAGATCTACTGCAGTACATGTACAGCACTGGTCTACCGCGTACCGATACACGTGGACCGGTACGCGGTGGCATGCCACCTTTCATTTTCAAGGTGTGAATA